GCTCGCAGCCCACACTAAATTACTGCAATTAAAGCGTTATTCACGTGTGCACAGTATCTGCACGATTTCATCGGGCACACGTGCAAAAAGCCACCCAATTAGCTCGTTTTGAAGTTCCACTACAACTCCTGCATCCACACGCCGAACACTGTTTTCATCTCATGCAAAAATGAGATTATTAATTCAATTGCCGTCAAACGCACATTTAAATCCCTCCTCAAATGAAATGCATACATAAAAGATTTAATCAAGTGCAAGAATTTATTCAATTCACAAGGGCTTTATAGAGTTACCTTTAGTGAAATGCATAATTAATTTTGTGGACGGAAAGCATGCTTAATCACGCAATTAACTTCTATGACATTTTACTCACTCTTGATGTGACAAAAAGCTGCTCTTGTTGAGTGATTGTGACCAAGAGTTTTTCTCATTTTCCTCTTCACAAAGGTGGAGGAAAAAAAAACATGAAAAAGAAATAATGGAAATTCTACAATTATGAAAATATTAATCATATTTACATATTATTTCACTCTACATGTTAGTTTTTGGTGAAAAAATTAGTGCAGTTTCTTCTAATTTATTCATCTTTTCACTTTCTTCTACACTGAGAGAAAAATTCGGGTCAAAATTGAGTCTGTTTCGGCATCTATTCAAGAATAATCCAGGTTGTTCGTCTTGATTTTAAGCAGAGATAATCCGACTTCAACTTATCCATAATAATTCAAGTCATTTTCACCCTCAAAACTAGCTTTTTTCAGGCCAATCATTTCTTGATTTTGTCATAATTCTTAGGCAAACTCTAAATTCCAGGATTAATTGAAGTCCGTTTCAATTTAAGAAGTCTTTGGAAACCTTATTTCACATTTATTTGTACCGAAAAATACTTCTCTAGTGAATTCTCTCTAGAGTTCTAGTGAAGAGCTTGAAATTATGCAGATTTTGGCTCATTTTGAGACTTTCTTTGGAAACTAATTTCAAGAATACTGAATTTTTGGTTCAAAAACATATTATTTTCCTAGTGAAAATTTCTCTTTAATTATTATTCTGAAATATCTCTTCATTCAAACACTGTGGAAATTAAATGGTCATGAGAAGAAATACTGAGCAAGAAGTGCAAAAATATTGCAAAGAGTTTTCTAAATAAATTGATGATATTATTGAGATTAAACAAGCAAATACGTGCAAGAGATGATTTCATATCAAATCAAGAGAAGAAAGTTTGGTGAAATATTGTGCAAAATATCAATTTCAAACGGGAGATAATATAATTTTCTCTTTCACCACCGGCGCGAAAAGCATTGAAAAGCACCGTAATCAAACATAAATATACAATGCGATAAAGTTTTATACACAAATTTATGAGAGAGAGAGCAACTTTTCAGCACGAAGCGTTCCATAATCCCTGTGTTAATTAACCAGAGAATGATGTTTCCCGTATCATGATTGCGCCAATCAATAAATTCTCAACCCGAACCGAAGAGGTTCTCTTTATTTTCTTATCACACCCATTTGGGCTATCCAAAATTCCCCAATTGCTCCGCGATGTGAGGAATGTGAGAGCGCTTGAAGAGCACAAAGTTGCGCCATCGGGAGACAATTTCAATTATGAATGAGAATGTATTGGTATTGACAGAGCTAATCACAAAAGACTCTCCCATCGGATCCCGATGGCGCGGCCCTGATAAAAGGGTGTGTTTCGATGGGTGGGTCGTGAGTAAACACTGTCTTAATTGATGCGATGACTATTGTAATATTCATTTTCTTCGGCATAATTGTCTAGTTGCCAACCGCAGTGTGGCTGCGGGTGTTATTTTGGGCAGCTTCGCTTTTCATAACCAAAACTGCGCGCCACCAGAAGCCCCAGGGCCGCCCGAAAGAAGGCAGAAAAGACGACCGTCTCTGGGGGTGTGGGATATAGATAAAATTGGATTATCCCCTCACACTCTGAAGCCAGCGAAAGATCATGTACTGCGAGTGGGAGTTGAAACACAATTAATTATTTCAACTTGTGGATGAGGGTGCAAAGAAACATTCCTCTCTTGCCATCGTGAGTGTAATCGCATTGTACATTTTAAACGACAGTGATAATTCCTTGTATATCTATCTGTGCCCTCTCTCTAACGTACTATATTCCCCACCCTCTCTCCCTCTCCCTCCTCGGTGGGTTTTTGGGGAACGAGGGAAATGTTTTCACCATTTCACATCATATCAATTCCCACCGCAATCATACCTAATCCCACGGAATCCAATCTCATTTCCACAATTCCACTTTCACCCATCAACAGCGAGGGGCAGGTAAACGCCACTGACACAACAATGCCGCACAGCTCAAGGAGAGAAGCTCCACTCGAGGAAGATATGAGCCTGAGAGCCCCTCAAACACCCACCGAATTGAGTTCACCTTCTGTGGCGCCGATAATCAACATTCAAGATGTGGTTGTGTTCCCCTGGACTCTCCGTCTCCTAATCTGTATCCGAACAATACACGCGTGTGCATCTGTCGAACAGATAGAGAGCAACATTTTCCACTTCTTTAGCGACACCCCAAACCATCCACCCACCCCCCGGCATGAAGGTGTAAATAAACAAAACGAAATTAATCAATATCCCCCAATGTTTGAATCCATCCACCTGCTCTGCCGCACCATCGTGACGAAGAGATGGAAGTGAGTGCTTTCGCCAGTGCGGAAGTATGTAGTCTCAAAGTGAAATTGTGCAATACCCAAAGAATCAATGCTCAACACCACCCCACACAACCCCCAACACACCCCTCATCGATCTCTTACACTCACATGCAATAAACACAATCAAATCTGTTTGTAAACGTTTGTCTTTCAATTCCACTCTATATCGCGCACAATTCTACGGAGAAATAAATTGGAACAATATTGCACTCACGCTGCTTCCTCATATATCTAACTTTCACAGTGGGATTGCTGGCAATATCGTCAAGAGTGGATGGAAGAGAAGTGCTGGATTAATTACATGTAATGCAGCTTTTATGTTACTTTTTACGACAATTCATTCTTCTCCCACAGACGTCTCAATATTCAAATTGGCGCAATAACTCCGTGACATAAAAGGAGATCAAATACGAAAACTCACGAATTTGGCCCAAATCGATATGGTGTAAAAGTTGAGCTCTTCTTGTAATCACTCCAAATCTCAACTCATCCAAAATCAACTAAAAAGGGTTTAGAGAGGCGATGAAGAGGTTTGACAGTATTTCTACTAGCGCTTTTTACTTAAGCTCAAAAGTTGCTGAGTTGCTAGAGTTTGGTCGCCATTTTGAAAACCCACAAAATACATTTTCCTTATTTGCTCAGGCTCTCTGGCATGGATCGGACTCATATTTCAGAATGTTAAAGCTGATCTGTAAACATTTTCAATTAACCCAAACTTAAGGACCTAGGTCCTTTCGAGACCATAGATTTAGGGTCCAAATTTTGAAAATTTAAATAGCAAAAATCCGCCACAAAATTATTTGATCAGAATAATTTTGGTTTAGACGGTTTGGTTTTAGAAGTTAAGACGTCTCTAAAAACAGATCATAGCTTGACATGGAAACAATGGAACCGGATTTACGGCGGCTCAAAATTTTCCTTCTGTATTTGTTAAAACTTTGGTTCTGTTTAACCGATCTTAATGACCATAAAACTCTCGCAATAACTTCTTAAAACAATGTACTTTTCTCTGACCTCTTCTTCTCTAACAAGCTGAGCTTTGCCTCAAATCGAGTTTGTCATATTCTCAGCTCGTCTCCGTGAGCTAAGCAGCGCGTTGAGCTCACTTTTTCTTTTGGCGAATCAAGTGAAAAGTGTCTGGAGCAGCAATTTAAATTCGATCCCGCACCATAACCAATCAATCACCCCCCGCCCGGAAAGAGGGGGACACCAAAACCCGCCCAGACGGAGCAAGACCTCGAGAGAACTTTTGGTCTGTTGCAAAATTAATGTTGCCGGATGATGGTGGTGAGGCCAAAAGACGGGAAAGCCCAAGAGATTGCGCGTATTTGAACTTTCTTAATTAACTCTAACTATATATAGCGGCGTGAGAGTTTGAGTGAAGACAAAAGATCCAAAATGTTAAATTATACTACACAACACTGCTTTCTAAAGCCTTCATCTCATCCACACACTCACACGCGCCTTCTTTCTCACACTCCCTGTCCAATTGTGAACTCCACGTCGACAATCACTGATATTTGTCACTTCCTTCTCACTCACAAGCACACAAGGACTCTCCAAGAATCTAAATTCCTCCTAACAATCCACACAACAGCCAAGCATATATCACTAATTGACATTGCTTGAGATTCTTACAAAAGAATTCCAATTCTACCAGGGAATGCTCGCAAAATAATTGATAGGAATTTGTGGTGAGACAATTGGTGACATAATTCAAAAGCATTTGCACAATAAATCGCATCGCAATGCTTGTAAGTTTACAGGAGGCATAAATATAGCCTTCATACATTAGAAATTCCTCATGCAAACGTGCTTTTTCGTCTATTCAAGAGGTATTTTAAGGTTTAATTTTCATAATACTTGATCGATTTTCCACCAATCATTTCGCACAAACTTAAAGCTTTGCATACTTTTGACTTTATCAAGCTCCAGTGTTATTAAACACTTTAATACACTATGATATTTCCAAACATTTTCCAGCTGTGTGCTGAGAAAATTTCGTCATTTGCTCTAAATTGCAAAATAACAGGCCATTGAAGCAATTCACTAGCTTCATCCCAACTGCATCTTATTTCCTCAAACCATCCACTTAAATTTAGATAAACATCTGTACATCTCTGACCCTTCCTTTCGCTCTATCTCACTCCCATCCTTTCCATTAAGTTGCTAAAAAGGAGGTTGAAGAGCAGCAAAATTCACTCCCCAAACTTAAATTGTCTTTTTCCAGTCTCAATGGACATTTTTCTGCACTTTTTCTACGGAATTTTAATTAAAACAGCCAAAGAATGGCGAATGGAAGGAAGGTAAACTCACCGAGAGAATGCAGTGGAGACTCTAATTGAAGACCATCTCCTGGATTTCCTCTTCGTCATCATCAGGCGTTGCTGAAGTTTGTCGCTGTCTTCCCGACATCCACACACTCTCCACTGGAACACCGCATTCTGACGAAATCCTCTCGATCAGAGACCTCTCAATCAGTCCTCGCGATGCCCAATCCGGCGCCCGACTGGAGAGATCCTTGACGGCATTGAGGGCTTCCGGGAACAGTCTCGAAGCTGCATAAGCCTCAACGAGCAGCACCAGGATGTCAGCATGACGCACCGGAGGTTTCTCCACAGTGTGCGCAAGAATATTGCGACATCCCGCAATCACAGCCTGATTCTCACCCCTTGACATGCTCTCCTGCAGCTCTAGCACTCGCCGACACTCCGCAATGGTCAATTCCAGCTGATCCACCGATCTCTTGGCGTTGGGCAGCTTCGACAGACACCGATTGGCCTCCAGCAAGGCCTTCAAAGCCTTCTCATAGTCCCGATACTCATCAATCTCCACCTGAGCGCAGGTGACGTAGAAATTGGCCAGGAGATCGAAAGCCTGTCCTTTGGAGTAGAAAGTCACGATATTCTTCAGCACTTTGGCATCATTCTGCCAATTGAGGGCTTGCAAGTAGTTCGCCGCCATGATGTAAACTTCCTTCTGACGCGACATGCTCGCAAAGAAGATGATCTTCTCCGTGTCTCCAGACTTCAGCAGACTCTTCATCGCCCTCACTTTGTCACCCGCTTGGGTGAACTTCTTCGTGGCCGTGTGATAATCGCCCTGCTCCTGCAGTAATTCCCCCAGCGTGATCAAAATCCCACTGCGAGTCTCATCGTCTGCCTCATCCTTGGTCGGCGTCAGAAGCTCAGCAAACGTCTCTGTCACAGGAACTCCTCGTTCGCGACAAATCTCCAGTGCTCGCTGGAATTGCCTCGTGTTGGCCAGCAGTTGAACAGCCTTCTGAGCCTGTTCGATGCTCAAGAAGAAGTCAGCACAGCGCGACACAAGCTCAGGATCTGACGATGCATCCAACTCCGAAGCAATCACTTGCAGTGTCTCAGGCTGTTGCGAGGCAAAAGCCATCTCCACAGCCTTGTGCAGCATTCCAGCTCTGTGGTACAATTCCACGGCTCGCTTAAAATCCTCGCACTCCTCAAAGTACGCCGCCGCGGCCGCCTTGTCTCTGCCACGAGCCGCATTCGCCACTGTCCACAGCTCCTCACGCAAGTCATTCTCCCGGCAAATCCTCACGGCATTGCCGTACGTTTGGGCTCTCGTGTAGAACTGGATGGCCTCTTGTGGCCTCCCGATGTTCTCATAGTGTCGCGCCAAGTGATAGCAAGCCGCCTGATCGCCACTGTGTCGCGCCGTGGTCTCAGCACGTGACAATTGGCCCAGGAAGCAAAGAATCCTCACTTGGGAGAACCAATCGTTGGCCTTCTGGTATATCTTGAACGCCATCTCCATGTCTCCCGTGCTCTCAACGTACTGACCCCACCATTTAAGCATGCTCGAGTCCGTTGTGCTCGCCATGTATTGCTGCAGGGAAGGAAGATGACAGAAAACAGAAATTAAAGTTGAATATCTCTGAATGAAAATGCAATTAAATATTCACCAAAGTGTCGATGTGAGTGCAAATTTAGTGAGTTACAATTACCAAATTGTCAAGCAATATTACTGGGCAATACGACTGCAAAACCATTTTAATGATGCTCTCGATGATGACACTTGTTGGCTCCATCTCGGGTCATAATTTATTTAAATGCACAATTGAATGTCGCACCCGGAATATATTTATGCATAAAAAATAGTGTTTGCTAGTCGTGGAAAAAAAAAATTTTTAATGCTGTTTGCAAATATTTGCAAACAGGCCTTCTGGCAAACTCTCACTCTATGAAATGTGTGTGTGTGTGTGACAAATAGCACGAAAGTGTAGTGACACAAAAAGCCACCCTCTTTTCATATGTAAATCTATGAATATTCCCATACAGCACAAAATGTATGAATACAAAAATCCCTCACGAATTGTCAATAAATGCACTTTTAATTATTTCATAATTTCCGGATTATTTGCTCTAACGATCAAAAAAAAAAATCCTCTTTATTTACCTAATTGTAGTTCATTTTGTGTGACATAAAATTATGCAATTCTCCCTGAACTGTGAAAAAGTGAATTTTCATACAATTTTTCATGATGCTCTTAATATGAAATGCGTGCAATTTTTTTTCCAGCAATGATGCGCTTATATTCGGAAAAAATGACGAATCCTGACGGATTGATGGTGATTAAAATGAATAGGGAAAATCCCTGGACTCACCCTGAGAGCCGCCGGGTCATCAATCAGCATTTGCGTGACGTTGTGTGTGGAGTTGTGGGACTTGTCGAAGTACTTGATGGCTCCCTCGATGTCTCCGGACTCGCGCAGCCACTCGGCGTACTTGAAGTACGTGTTCTTCAGGTGCACACGATCGCATTGCTCAGCAATCTGCAGCGCCTGCCGAGGGAATTTCTGTGTGAAATTCAGAGTCTAAAAGCGATTACAGACTTGCCGCTTATCCTCGAATCATCGCGAACGCGGATCAATCCTCCGTGGATGAGCTTGGAATGTGAAAAGGCGAAGATCAGCAATAAGTCGTGGTTGATCTGCACCTTTACACACTCAAAATATGGATTAGCAATAATTCGTGGCTGAACTGGCGCTAAATACACTCAGGAGTTATTCTTTGTCGACACTAGCGACACTGTGCTTGGTGTGTTCAACTGTCAGTTGATTTGCGTACGTCAAAAGCGAGAAATTTTACGTTAAAATCGCGAAAATTGATGACTCGTAGAAGAATTTAATGATTTTTAATAATCCAGGAAATCATTCGCAAGAGATTCGCCATTTTGCGCCTCTCCTGAGTCGCGCATGTTTCGGCGCATTTTCGCACGAGCGCGCTGCCGTCGGGAACCCCTGAAAAATCGGCTGAACCTTCGATATATCGAGGGATTATTCGCGTTTTCTGGCTAAGCGAACTGTCAGTCGTACACACTCGCGCTCTCGCTTAACCTCCCGTGGATCATCAGCAAGTCTGTAATCGCTTTAAGGAATCTTTCTCTCTCTCTTCTCACCTCCTCGAAGCGCCCGCACGCTTGCAGCAGACGATTCAACAGATCATATCGGCCGCACTTCTTGTACAGCGCCTCCGCCTCCTCAATCATGTCCAGCTCAATGGCCAGCACGGCGATGCGCGCCTCGTCCTCCAGCGTGTCGTCCTCCATCGCGCGCCGCAGCGCTCTCACCGAGGAGGCGCGCTTCAGGTGCCCCAGACACACTTTCGCCACATCCAAGCGGCCCGTGTGAACGCACATCTGCGCCAAATTGCGCCACACAGCCTCCGACTGGATGGATTTGATACATCTGCAATTGAAATTGAACATCGATAGGGCGAATTGGAGAGCTTTAGCCCATTTTTTTCCCCGCGTATTTATATCGCTCCATTTATCGCGCGCGCTCGAGAGTCGCGCGAAGAACGAGAATTTCCTCCAAATTGGGCATTTTTTGCGGCAAACACAAAAAGCCAAAACTATATTTTAGTTGATGAGAATTTTTGTGGTATTAAAATTTCATTGGCAAAATTGTTGATGCAAATTCAAATTTCATTCATGATTATATGCAATAAAATTATGGCAGATATTTTTGCGTTTTTTTTTTTTTAATCATTTGAACACACTTTGGCGTGGAAAAAAAACTACCTCGCAGGGAAAAACACTCCAGCGAAAGGTTTTTCATTCTGAAAACATTTGTACTTGTTTGACTTTTTCCACTTTTTTCCACTTTCTTGGAAAGCAATTTGTGATTCTGTCATCTGAACTTCTCGGAAACGTTATTTAAAGCGAGAGTTCTTCAAGTCACAAAGAGCATTAAAATTGCCATTGTCTGAGCTTTAAGGATTTCTTACTGATTCTTTCATTTCATTCTACTGAAGAATCATTTAATTACAAAAGATTTGGAGAATTGTAGTGAAATTTATGCTTACATTTTCTGGTAAAACACTTAAATGTTTCAAATAGTTAACTAACACATTTTTAACATTCCTTGTTTGAGTTGGAAGCGCTCAATTCTTCACATTCTCATTCCTGAATAAGACACTCTTGGCGAATCCCTCGCCATAATCCCTGCAAAAGGAATTAAAGAGTGAATTCAGAAGAGCACTAAATCTCCCCCGATTGCGCGCCCCTTGTCGCGTATCGCGCTTTGAACATTAGCGCGAATCAATGCATAAAAAATGACTCCCCGGGTGCAGATTTGACTGTCGGGCGGGGAGAAAGGATGTGCGTGAAAAAATCAAAACAAATAAACCTGAAAGCGTGGTCCATATTCCCTTGGGCAACATTCAAGCTGAAATCCAGCACCATTTTTCGCGTTGATGGGTCGCATTTTTCAAGCCCTTTGAAATCTCGCAGAGCAATCCGTCCGATATTATTGATTCGCAGCGTTATCTGGGCACGGAAGAGAGAATGTGTGAGAAATTGACTGGCATTCGCACCTACTCGAGTGGGGTCTTACGATGTGTGGCGCACACAGGTTGACCAATTGCTCCCCGGGCGACAGATTGATGGTCTCCAGCTCCTGCAGGCCTCCGCGCTCCGACACGAACATCACGCACGCCTGCGACTCCGTCACGGTCTGCATGTGCGACTGGCGCTCCTCCGTGGTGCGCGACTTCTGCTGGATGCACCTCACCTCGCACACCAGCAGCCGCGCGTCCTCCGCATCCCAGCGGAACGACACGGGCAGCCGCGCGAAGAAGCTGTCGTGCCGCGTGACGGCGCTGAAGAAGTCAAACGGATGCACCACGTCCTTCTCAATGTCCCACAAATACAGCTTCCCGTCCGGCAGCAGACTCTCCGTGGCCACGCTGGCCGCCAAGTGGCTGCCGCGCAGATTGCTCCTGGCCACGATGAACTCCCCGAAGCTGTCGAACATGCTGTGTCCGGACTTTGGCGCCGTGACCAGCTTCGGCTCATGGCGACTCACGTCGTAAATCTTGAGATAGCCATTCATCGTGAACAGTGTCAGGTAGCTGCCCGTCAAGTCCGCCCCGATTGGCTTTCCTGCGTCCAAAACGGAAGTGGGCAATTACTGTGGGAATTTGCATTGCCAGCCTCACAATCGCCCAGCACGATTTATAGGCTCAGCGGGAGGGGGGAGGCGGATAATTTTCTCTCGCAGCTCCTCAATTTGTCGTCTTGACTGCACACTTGAAGCAGTCGCAACGGAGAGACATTCGCGCGATGAAGTGTACTTTTTAGTCATTTTAACAAGAGCTAAACTGAATGGCAAATTGCAAGCAAATTCTCTTGTAATTGCGACCACTCACAATTCATCATTCCACACGCGTACACAACATCACTAGAATCTCCCTGCCTTGCTCACTAAATTTCCCTATCCTAACGAGATTGGTGATTTAAGGCGATTTCAGGTGTAAAATATTCATCACTGTCTTACCTTCGGTGTCCTTAAAGGCTATCTCCTGCAGCAGGACACCCCCGAGGGAGACAATTCTCACGTCGTTGGACGTCAGCAGGATGAGATTCTGCTCATGCAGGAATAATTGCAGACACTCGGCAATAAAACTCTGATGAGTCTTCACTTTGAGTTGCCCCCCTTTGCCGCCCAATTCGTCCTCCGTCGCCACCTTGAACACCGTCACGCTCTTCCCATTCGACACGGCGATGAAGCCTTCGGACAGCGCCAGGCTGGTCACGGCGATGTCCGACTCCAGAGTCTTTGTCTTGCCCGCCGCGTGCTCAATCGCGCACTGACTGATGCTCTTCTGCACGGCCCACAGATTGCGACAGTGCGCGGCGGCCAGCAGCTGTTCCTTGAGGATGAACACATTGGAGATGCAATTGGCCACGATGCACGACTGCCCGATCTCCGTGACGCCCCACGAGCACTGCTTCACGGATCCGCGGACGGTTGTGACGTTGTTCAGCTGCCACACGTTCTCCGGCGACGCGTCTGGGGAGTAATTCATCCGGCGCCAGTTGTAGAGATTGCCCTGATTTGTGCCGGCGCAGAGAGTTTGAGTGTCCGGACAGAAGGCGAGGCAAGTGAAGGCTTCCGAGGCGGATTTCTGCACCTGAGCGCCGGCATCTGACGTCTCCATGGGCAAGAGGAAGTTGTCACTCGTGTCAATGTCCCAGATTCTCACACTCAGATCGCCCGTGATGATGGCAAGAGCGCTTCCCGCCCAGGAAATCACGCCGTTGCATCCGGGCTTCCTTCCACTCAGCTTCACCCTGTCCAGCTCCGTGAGACTCCCGCCGGACTCCACGAAGTAGTGCGCCACCGTCATGTCCTCCATCAGCGTCACGATGGCGTCCCGCTTCGGGTGCCACAGAACCTGCGTGATCGGCGAACTCTCCAGGCGCAGCACTTCTGTGCACGTTCCCGCCTGATTCACGTAAAACATCGCCCCGGATTGCGTGCCCACGTAGAAGCAGTGATTGTCCTTCACGCCAGCGTGCGTGAGTCCGCGCGCCGCTGTCCTGGGCCGCCAATTCGTGAGCGTGTCCAAAGCGGATTCATCTCCGGCCACCGCGGCTCTTGCCAGGTTCGTCAACTCGGCGGCCACGGGACTCTGCACGTGGCGGCGGAACGTGACGTGCAGGAAGGGATCGCGCAGGTCGTGCGTGAAGGCCGTGAGGAATTGGCCGTGCGCGTCGCAGCGCCAGCCCGTGAGCACGCCCATCGAGTCGCCGCTCACGAGCCGACCGCCCACGCTGGACTCGCTGAACGCCAGCAGCACGATGGGGCTCTTGTGGGGCCCCTTGATGGACGCGAACTCACGCCCGCCCTCCGTCCACGTGAGCACGTCGCCGTTCTCCCAGCCGCTGACCTGCAAGAGAGAAATTTAATTGCATTTCCTCTCTCATTTCGAACGCATTTTTTAAGCTTCTGTGGCTTTTTATTGCATAATTGTCTTCCGAGATAATCTGCGGAACAATTCTTTACCTGAATAACTGGAAAAACAACCCAGAAAAACGTTCAGAATGTGGGATTTTGAGAACGTTCGCAATTTTATGATTACTTTTGCTTCTCTTTCTTTGAAACAATGGACAGAAAAATTGGCAAAAGATACGCAGATTGTTCAGAGATTACAGTAAATGTGACAAAATCGCTATCAAGCCAAACAGATAAATTCTGATCACGATTGATAAGGCAAAAAACCGTAAGATTTCAAGGATTTTTGAATTTTTGTAAAACTGTAAATTGATGTTTCATCTTGTGTTTCATGCTCAAACATGAAACATTCGACGACCATTTCCATGAAACATGCTTTCCTATAGGAATTTCTTCAATTTTCTCAACTCACCAGAAGCTTCTTCTCCGGATGCCACGCCAGGGCAGTCGCCTGAGACACTGGATTCACCGGGAAGGTGACATTTGGAATGGTTTCTCCCTGCGAAGATCAGTAATTGCGGAAAACTTTATCGTTCTGGGGAAATGTGAAGCCAACTCACCGTGTCACTGAAAATCGTCACGGAACCTCCTCTGTCCTGACTGTAGTACGCCACGGCCAGGAATGGCTCCTGTCTGTGCCACACGGCCACCGTGCTGACCGCATCCTGGTCGGGAAACTGCACTTTTGTGTCGAAGAAGAGAGTCATTGCGCGAGCGAACAATTCCGGCTTCGCCTTCAACAACAAACAGTTACCATGACGACTGCAGCCAGAGTTGCCCGATGAGCGACTCGCCGAGCGAAAGTGAACGAAAGCCGTTGGCGGGAAATACAAATGCTTGAGCATGCACATCACTTTTATTTCCATATCAATGCTTTTATAAATTGCAAATAATGCCTATGCAAATGGATTAATTACGATTATTTTGCTACAATTCCTTCATCTTCACATTCTGAAACTGCGTTGAAAAATCTTCAGCATTGTATAAAATTGTTTAAATACTTTTTATCATACTTTTTTTCTTGTAGTTTCTTTTCTCCATCCATATAAAATGTAAAAAAGTTGTTTTTTTTTATATATCCGAATATGTCCCTAAAAATTACACAAACTTGTTTATCAAATATTACATCATTGTTTCTTTATCAAAAATTGCTCTACATCGAAAAAGGGAGGCTCAATAAGAAAGGAGTTTTTGCGAAGAGAGTCGCATTTACACAAATGGAAGTGTCTTTCATCAATCTTTTTCTCCTACAGATTAATATAAAACCGACTAGTTTGGATTTTTCCTTTTTTTTTTTGTTCATTTCTATGTCTCCGTTAAATCAAATACTATGACGGTTAAATAAAATATCACAACACACAATTTCTTTTAAGCAAAAATGTCATCTTGGAGAATATTTTCTTTCAATTACAATGAATAAATTCAAAATGGAATAAGAGATACACTGTGTTTTCAGCCCTTAATTACATTACTACTAACTTGGAATATGTCTTGCAGTGTTCAATCTGTTCACTGGCTCAGAGTTGCAGAGTATATTTTTGTTGCGTTAGAAAAATCGTCATGATCCGCGCACGTCAAAATCTCACGATATGTCTTCGCGAAAGTCGGCAGAAATGCGATAAAAATTGCAGAAAAGGCGCGAACGAGCGCGAAAATGGCTTTCCCCACGGGCTCTTCAGCCCTCCCACTCATCCTCATCCACGCCGTTCTCCGTGTCGTACTCGATCTTGGCCAGATTCGGCTCCATTCGGGCGCTGAGACTCTTCTGGATGTCCTTCTCGCGCTGCTTCGTCACGTCGCTGCGGAACATCATGCTGGCGCCCGGATGAGGCGGCGGAATTGCCTCAGCAGCAGCAGATTCAGGAGCCTTGGCAGCGTCCGACTTCGCGGGCAGTTTGCTGGATGACACTGCAGGAGGAGAAGAGACGCAAAGGATGTGATAAGCAAACGTGTTAAGTGAATGATGAATTTCTACTCACAACACGCCATTCCCTCCGGCTGCAGGCTGACCTTGCTGGGCGCCTTGTCCTTGCCGGCGAACCACTCCTTGGCACTCAGGCTGGGGGCCCACGTGACGCGCGTGGGCGGGAAGAGATCGTCCTGGAAGAGCTCGCTCTTGAGCCGCGGCACCGTGAAGCTCAGCCACTCGATGGTGTTGTTGGTGAGACGCAGAGCTCGCGCGAACTCCACGCCGGCCACATTGCACTGGTTCTTGGGCAGGAAGCTCAGTCCCTGGTGCACCGAGACGCCGCGATGGTGCGACAGCGGGCAGATGTGCGGCGCTTCGTCGGTGATCTCGAAGCTGAACACCGTGGAGTCGCCCTTGCCGGTGAGGAAGAGCGTCGAGCTGTCCTCGTCGTAGAACGGCACGAGAATGGCAGGTGACACGTCGATGCCGATCGTGTTCAATGGCACACCCAAGTTGTCTCGCTGGTAGATTGTGATCTGGCGCTCTGACACCTTATCGAAGCCCGTCACGACGATGAACTCACCGTCCAGCGCCCACACGACGCGCGCCCCGCGCGTGCCCACGGGCCCGGGCCCCTCGGCCACCGGCTCGCCCGACTGGCGCGGATTGAACACTCTGAGACGCCCGTCGCGGCACACAGACGCACCGCGAGTGCCGCACGGACTCCAGGCGAAGCTGAAGATCTGATCCGTGTGGCCGTGCAGCACAAGACGCTCCTGCATCTCCACCAGATCCCACAGCTTCAGCGTCATGTCGTAGCTGGCCGTGAGCAGGACGTCGCTGGCGCTCGGGTGGAAGCGGATGAAGTAGATCTTGTCCGAGTGCGCCACCAGCTCCGAATGCGGCGTGTTGATGGGCTCCGTGAGTCCACCAGCCGGAATCATCCACAGTCTCACGATGCCGTCATCGCACGCCACCGCCAGGCGGCTGGGATTGAAGGGATCCCACTGGAAGTCCATGATGTTGCTCCCGTTGACCAGCGACGGGATCACACCGTCCGGCAGACGTCCGCACTTCTCCAGCTCATAGATGGCAATCTTCCCGCCCGGCCCCGCCAGCGGCACAGCCACGCGCTGCGCATTCCCGTGGAACCCATCGCACTCGCCCGGCAGCTGGCGACTGATGTTCCGCACATTCTCAATGCTCGTGGACTTGTGTCCCGGCGTGCCCTTCAAGTGCCGATACTTGGACACTCGCCCGAACACCGTCGACGTCCTCTTGCCCGTCTTTGCACTCGACGCCGTGTCGCCGTCCACGACTGTGGCTTGCGGCGCCGGCGCTGCGTGTTCCTCCTCCTTTCCATTCCACTGCTTCAGGGAATTGCGGCGCCGCAGAGGCGTCGGCGACGCCGCCTTCTCCTCCTGAATGCTCATCGAGCGATGCTCGTACATCTTGCGACGCTCAGCAATGGATGTGGCAGCGTCAGAGCGATCATCCTCAGCCTCGTCAGGCTTCTTCTCCACAGACTCACGCACATCGACCACTTCAGGCTCAGCAATCTCAACCGGAGGCTCGCACTCGGTGCTCTCCATCTCAGGAGAGTCATCTGGAGGAGAGATAATTGGCGGTTCATTGGAAAGATCTCGTGATCAGCTACAACATATCTAAATTTGAGGGCAATCCAAGCCATAAGGCTTGAGCAAATGAGGAAAATGTGTTTTTGGGGTGTTCAAAATGGCGGAAAAAACTGCCCCATCAAGCCTATAATAATGTAACTTTCTCACCTGTCTTCTCTTCGGAATTCTCCTCCGTTTTCTCCGGTTCTGTATTGGAATGCGACGAATACTGATCAGTCTTCTCTTGATCGCCATTCCCACCATTTGCCGACTGTTGCTCAGTTCCCGGAACTTGAGGAACCGAGAAGACCTTGTCAAAGGAGAACTTCTCCGATGATGTGCATCCGACAAAGGGTTTCGGTCCCAAGCGAGGCTGCAAGAGAAAGACACGCCATCAAATCAAACGATCAAACAAATCACTTCAAACACAAACACACACACAGATAAAAATCATACTGAAAAACCAGTGGAAAAAAACAACTCAAATAAGAGGAAAATTTGTGCCTTGTGCGAATAAACCAAGAAAACAATATAATCTCACGTGTGGAACAATGGAAAAGTGGTGAGAAAAGTGAAACAGAAAAGAACCAAAATCACGCCACAAAACGCCACACCTTGTATCCACCGCTGACGGCGGTGATTCTTGGCCTGGGACTCGGACGCGGCGCGCAATTCCCAGAGCCGCTGCTCGAATCCTCAGACGAGTAGTCACTGATGGAGTTCGTGCGTGACGTGCGCGGCAGCGGAGTCGGCGGGATGACGACTTGACGTCCAATTTCCGCCACTTTGTCCACGCGATCCTCATCACTGTTGTGCTCCGTCGCGTCGCCATTCGACTCCTTCACGTCCACGACAATCTCCGGCTCCGCGCCCTTGCCATTCTCCTCCTCCTCCTCGTCCTCCTCCTCACCCTTCAGCTCACCCTTGTCGCACTTCTCCGCCGCAATTGGCGTCTTGTTGTACTCCTCCATGTGCTTGATCTTGTCCTTAATCGGAATGTACGATGCCTTAATCATGGGCGACTCCTTGAGCTTCTTCGGCTCCTCGGCCGCACTTCGCGCTCTGTTGCTCATGTTCTCAACCATTTCCATCAGATTTCCACGATGAATCTACCATTAGTTAGTGGTTTTTGCACACAAATATCAATGGAAAATGCCCACAAGCGAAGGATTTCGCGAAGAGATCAAGGAAAATGTGGATTAAGGCTAGCCGAGATTTACTGTAGCTTTTTTGTACATTTTTTCATCGAAATACTTTAGATTTCGTAAAAATCAGTTTGTACGTAGAACAAAATTCTAAAACACGAAAAAATGACTCATTTTTCGTCATATTTAGCCACTCTGAGTCAAGTTTAGTTGATTTTGCGCGAATATTAGCTGTGATGTAAATCCCAGACTAGATAAAATTGTTAAAATGCTTCACCCAAAATCCCTAACAAGAGTTGGAAAAACATTCTCTCTGACTCAGTTGGACAATCATCAAAATCTGTAACTTTTCCAACTCTGTTGCGACAAAAACAGTGAAATCTTTGCTGGAAAAACTCACCGTAATTGGCTGGGCGCCCAATTCCCGCTTGGCAGGGTCGAGACTCATCTTGGGCACCGGCAAGTTCGTCCCTTTCAGCCACTGAGCCGCCGTCAAGTCCGTCCTGAAGCCCACCGTGTCCGGATACAAGTCGCTATGGAAATCCCTGTAAGTCTTCCGCGGCACCTGATACATAATCGGGATGACGGAGTTGGAAGTGAGCTGCAGAATCCTGTTCACCTCGCCCTCCATCACTCTGAGCGCTCTCTTCGGCACCAGACACGCTCCCTTCGTCTGCTCGCCCGTGTGCCGCAGCCCCTCAATCAAGTGGGGCTCCTTCTCCGTCACCTCCAGATACGAAATCGTGGAATCACCCTTGCCGGCCAGGAAGAGCATATTTGTGTCGGCATCGAACAATGGCATCAGAATTCCAGTTGAACAGTCAAGCTCGAGAGTCTTTTCCGGCACGTGGAAGTTCCTCACATCGCGAATGATCACCTGACGCAGTCGCTGAGCATCGAAGCCCGTGGTGAGAATGCGATTCTGCTCGCCCAGCCACACCACACGCGAATCCTTGATACTCTGATGACTGTCAGCCGCCAAGGCGATGGGCTTGTTGGCTCTCGGATCCACCACGCGAATCATCTTGTCTTTGCACGTCGTCGCCAGAACTGTGCCGTCTCTTTTCCAGCTCACTGACTGGATCACTTCCGGATGCTCATTGTTCGCTGGCGGACAGAAAGCGAGAGTGTGATTAAAATGACAATTACATACAAGAGAGCCTAGCAAAGTTCGCAAATACAATTCTTATCTCTCTTCCTCTCCTTGTTCAACACAAGAATAATGGCTCAATCAAGTGCAACTACTGAATTTTACAGCCAATTGATACGAATCATTGAGCAATCTCGGAGGAAGCTGCACGAGCCTTTCCAGTGCGGAATAATATTATTTTTAATCCCATTATGTTAACTCCGCACACACACTGACTGACTGACTCTCTCGGAGAATATCTCGTCAAACTCACTCTTCTCGCAGTGTCTAATCAGTGAAGCTCATCGTGTTAATGCTAATAGAAAAATTCCTACAAGATTACATAACAATAAGTTGTAAGAAAATAGCACTTGAGAGCTTCTTCTTCAGCTCAGACGATGATGAATTGTGTGGCTTAAGTGCTCGCATTTCTGCACTGACGGAAAGAATGAAAAGCATTTCCGAGCGCAGAAAATCTTGCGCGAACAACAGACACCAATTTAACAGTCGAGGGAAAACAATGTGGCTAATCTTGGGAGTTGATGATTAAACGGAAACATACTTGAATTCATACTGAAATCTTACGTTTTAAGGACTTGAAGCGACATCAATTGGGGTTTAGACTAAATTTCAGGTCGATTAGCTTGGCAGTGAGAGGGAAAAGAAGGGCGGAAGACTTACAGAACGCCTCCTCCTGCACCGTGATGTCCCAGAGGTTGATGGTGCCGGCCGAGGTGGAGTGCAGCAGGCAGTCGGCCGTTGGGTGGAAGCCCACGCGCTCGATGCGGCGCTGCTTGTGTGAGAACGTGCACTCGGGATTGGTGATGGACGTGGTGAGGCCCTTGGGCGGGATGTGCCAGATCTTCACCAGGCAGTCCTGCGAGCCCGTGGCCAGCACGCCGTCGTGGAAGGGCGAGAACTCCAGGTCCGTGACGGTGTCCGAGTGCGCGTGCAGCAGCGGCATCGTCTTGCTCTTCCGGCCGCAGTCGTCGATGGGCAGCACGGCCAGACTCGTGCCCGTGTGCTCCCAGTTGAAGGCCATGAAGGCCGCCGAGGCGGCGATGTTGCTGCCGTGATTCTGGTACGAGCCCACGATGATGTCCCGGATCGTGGCCTCGGGCTTGGGGACGATTGGGGCGGCATTCTTGTACTTGGATGCCTTGAAGCGCCACGCCATTGTTTACCCACTGGAAAATCAATAAATCCACTTGAGCACGAGGGGCTCCTCATCCGGCACTCGCGAGAACAATGCACAAAGCAGTGAGAGTCCTTTCGGAGCTCGTCATCTGCGCTTAAATGGGCAGGTGAGCGCCGAGGGGCGCGCAAAAGGGGATTCGACGGACATTTGTGCGGAAAATAACTAAAATCGACAGTCAAAGGACTAATTAGTCAATATAAGTCCTATTTTCCCCTAAAATTGTGTCAAATAAAGATAAATAAATCCATTAGAAATCGATTTTGACCGGGAAAAAGTTGAAAAAGCGTCTTAAGTCGCAACTTTATGTAGTAAGAAATTTCTTTTTACAATAATTCTTCTATATTCTTTCAAACTATTAACACTTTAAAGTGTTTGCTTTACAATTTACTGTGAAAATACAGCTTTTCGTACGCGGCCTGAATATTTTAAGAGTGTTTATTTTGACTGAAAATAATTGCTGTAAAATGTCTGCGACTATTAATTCTCAACGTATACTTAAGATTCTTAAGTGAATCATTTAAAATCGTGTTTTGATAAGAAAACTAATGAAAATGATAACATTTTATTTGGCATTGGAAAAATTCGGTAATCATTTCATGAATGAGTCAGATTTGATTATCAAATTTGCAATTATTCGATTTCCACGAAACGCTTAATCTGTACTTTAGCCTTATTGCCTTAAATTCTTTGCTTTAAAGATCCCTTAATTGAGAAATGCCAAGACTTTTCCAGCCGCGTGCAAGAAATTTGTTTGCCAGTGTCTCAATGACAAACCCTTTCCTTGTCAGGTGTAGCGAATGATTTTCTGGCAATTTCACGGTCTCTTCGCCCCCGCGAAAGACGCCCACGTCGGAAGTGGCCGAAGAAGAGTCTCCGGAAGCGATTTGAGCCACCCTCGCGGCACTCGAGCGGCCACAAGAGCCCCAAAAGAGCCGCCAAAGGAGCGTCTCTCACCCCATCAGCAGGATCAGCCCGCAATGCGCTCAATTCCGGGGATTTTCCACTCCGGTGACATCATCCGGCGACTCACCGCACCCCGGAAGCCCCGCGTGAGCCGGTACTTTTCCACAGCGGCCCCGGAGGCGCTCCTCCGGCCGCTCGCGGACGCTTCAAATTACCTTTGCGCAAGTTCGGTGAAGGATGTTTTGTTTGATGTCGCCGCCGAGAGGAAGTGCCGCACAAAACACGGGATTTTCACGGGTTTTCTCACCATCTACCGGAACCCACCGACTGAATGTCACTCACACAGCACGCCGACACACTTTTCCGTAATTTTTGCACAATTTCGCGTGCGTTTGAGCGCGAATTCAGAGGAAATTGCGAGGAAACTTTACGCCCTTCCGACGACGTTTGAGCGGCTCTCTCGCTCTTTCCCAGTGGCGGCGCGCTTCGTTGAGTTTCACGATCAACGAATGCATGGAAGCGCCGGAGGTTTTCTACGCGTAGAAAAGTCGGGTACTTTACTCCAGAGGAGAAGACGATGCGAAAAAGCGGGAAGAAGCGAAAATGGCTTCTTCGGTCTTCGGCACAGGGGCTTAAAGATTATTTGAAACTGGATTTGAAATTGAAAATTCGGAAAATGAAAGACAATGGTTTATTTAGTGGTTTACACACGGTCTGGCCCACTAAAATAAGTTAATTTGCCTCAAAACAGCACAAATAGAGTCAAACAAATTTCAGATGTTTAGGATAAGTTTTGACAGCAATGTCAATGAGTTTTCCCTCCTAGAACCCCATTGACACGTCACTAACACCCTGGCAAACATCGCGCCGAGAGCGAATTCACGTTCAAATCGTCCGATCGTGAACAAGAGTTCGAATAGGCCTACCAGAGTTCGCGTATAAGCCGAGCATAGTCCAAAATCAGACGATTCGAGTCCGCGTATGAGCTTATTCTAAGCTTAATGTATAGAGAAATCGGGTGGAAGTTTGCCCATATCGGGCCGACGGTCAGCCTGATCTACGTTACAGTTTTAAGATCTTTCGTGAAAAAAGAATTTATAAGAGAAAAACGTGTGAAGTAAAAAAAGGATGAAAACAGCAGAGAAAGGAGAGAGAAATGTTGGCGCGAATTTTACACATTTGACTACAAAATCTGGCAACCCATTCGAGCATTGGAATCTACAAATTCCATTCAATTCGGTCTTAACCGTCTTAACTGTCTTAACCCAATACTTCAATTGTGACTGTTGCGTGTAATAAAAAAGTCGCAGTGTCGTAAATGCGCTGGCATGCCAGCTCGGCTGTGCAGCGCGCTTCACTCGCGGCAATTGAGCCAGTTTGAAAGTGTCGGTGCGAAAGATAAGAAGGGCCGTTTCGCCGCGCTCCGATCTCGCGTTTTTATCAAGGAAAAAACGCTGCTTCAAATGGTGTGCAATTAATTTGTCGAGAGTGAGGAAACTCGTATTGTGGAATTTGTGAACGGAACAGTGTGTGTGTGAGAGTGGATTTTTGTGGGTTTTTTCTCGAGAGACACGCGGTGAAATTGTGCAGAAAAGAAGTGGTTGGAAAGGAGCGAAAGATGAAGAAATAAATCACGCCGAGAGGAGAGACTTTTGGCGACACAGAACATCCATTGGAGGAGGAAGAGAGGTGAGGAGCACACGAAACCGGTTCCACGGCTTCTTACCTGGTCCGGCCGAACTTACCTCTGATAAGCACAAAAAAAAGTACGTGAAGTGAGCGTCATAGCGGTCAAAGGCGCATATTTCGTGGGCCCGGAAAAGCGATCAACGGTTTATTGAGGAACAGAGCGGAAAATGCCGATTGCCGCGCTTTTTGGGTCATTCGCCGCCGCGCGTTTTACCGATAAAAAGCCCCGCGAAAGGCATAGTGAAAAATAGATATTGAGTGCATAATTACAATGAATTTTACTCTTTAATGCATATTTTCATCACCGCACATTTCACGTCTCTCTTTTGCATTCGCAATTGTTGGCTGACGGCGTGAAATTGCCGCCAGAAAGCAACAAGAGGGGGTTTATGCATTGAGAAATTGGCGACTCTAATTCGCGAAATATTCAAGAGACCAGAAATATTGAATAGAAGTCTAGATTTTTATTGAATTATCTCTCATTTGTGTCATTTCCCATCAATTTCTGACGACAAGAATTCGATAAAAATCAAGTTCAAATCATCTTTTAGACATCTTTTCAACCATAACCTAAAGAAATATCATTAAAAATCATAAATATGAATTTTTTCTAACTGAAAATTTGTTAATTTGTCATGCAAGAAGGATTCCAAGAACGTAATATTCTAAATATTCTATTAACATTTCTGCCTCTGAAGATCTTTCCACCCAGTTCATTGTGGTGAAATGTAAGAAAAATGGCAAGAATTTATAGGAATTCATCACTCTTGACCTTATCGCTGTGCAAAAAATGCACTTTTACTTCCGATTGCATAAGATTATGACGTGAAATACTGAAAAAGGCGAATCAATTTACTTTCCACCTTCAAATCGAGACAAACTGCAAGCAATTCAGCATCTGCAATCGTCTCTAAAGTGCAATTTAAGGTATTTAAGTGGGATGAAGTTCCGAGGAGAAACTATTCGAGCAATTTCAATTGGAATTAATTGTGAAAGTGTGTTCGTGACTGCTCACGATGGTGTTGGTGAGGGGCTTTTGACTTCTCCACTTGCTCCACATCCCACCAGAGATAAAAGGCGGGAATTTTTGAGATAATTTCCATTTAATTGAATATTCTCTCTGGCACTACTTTTTGCATATCAATCGAGAGACTCTAAATGATGCCAAATGAATGGCTCTTATTGTTCCAATGGCCAAGGCAAACTAATTGAATTCCCTTCTGCGCCTCTCTGGAGATGAGACGCTGTCTTTCATCGTGGCTTGAAGAGAAATGCAGATGTGCTTCACGATCCTGGTGTTTTCTGGCAAGTGCATTCGATTGTGCGATTGAGTGGGCGAAGGACTGTTTTGGAGCCACTTAATCGCCCATTTTCCATTCGAGCGGGAAATTGCCATGGCTGAAAATCGCCACAAACGCGAACTTAATGGTTCTAGAGGAAGAGAGACTTCCTCTCTCTAGTCTAGAGAGTGAACACACAGCGAAAGTGTTGATTCTTTTGTGGCTCACATAATGGCTTCGATGTTTGCGACATCGTTCCAAGATTCTGGACTGGGCGGAAGCGTGTCATCAATTCACAAATTCGAGCCACAACAATATAATGGAGCCCATGATGATTGCTGATGGACGCACACATCAACACACGCAACTTCATGAAAGGTTTTTTGAGGTGTGCGCGCAATTGAATATTCTTTTGAACTCAATTCTCAGTCGCGCTTCGTGTGACTTTGACCTTTATCTCAGCACTGAGTTTCCTTTGAAATTGTGGCTTTTCCACAAGCGAAAGAGCGTGCGTGAAAAAGTTGTACACAAGTCGTGCTCATATCCAAACTTACGCGGGAAACCACTCGTTGCGCCACTTCTTCGCGATTTGCGGTGAATTTTGTGGCCAAAGAATGCCGGCAAGGGGTTTATCAGTTTCGAATATGAGTGGCAAACTTGCAAACAATTGGTTTACAATGTTAAATTACCAATTTACCGATTCTATTTGTGCTGTTTTAAAGCAATTAAAGCTATTTTATTCGGTCGAACCACAATTTTAACCACATTTTAACCACTAATAAAACCGCCTTTCTACTTAGATTATTTTCAATCGAATGCAATGCCTTAAAATGCCTGCTAACGTATTTAGATGAAGATTCTATCCTTTGATCGAAACATTGTTCTGAGTTAAATTCATTAAAAGAGTGTCAAAATATTGTGCGAACGTCACCAAAATCATTTATTATCAACTCTTATCATGACAAACATGGTAGAATGGAAATTTATTATGTTTTTGCCGTATAGAAAACTCATTAGCACTTTGTTTCATTACACTTTAAATCCCTTTTATTGAACGTCTCAGTCAGTGGCGAAGAAATGTGAGAGACTTTGGCGCGAAACGAATTGTGATTTAATCGAAAGCAAGACGTCTTATTTATCTCAATCAAGACTTTATTTCAAAACTTTATTCATGTGCTCAAGTGAGCGTAAAAACGGCTCTTTGTGCTCTGGATTTGCACAGAAAATCAGCAACGCTAGAATTAACATTTGGGCGGCGGTGAGATGAGTTTACACTCAAATTGATAACACATGATAAGAAAGTGAGAAAAAAAATCCAGAGTCGCGTCGACGGCGGAAAAAGTGGTGAGAAATGCCATAAATCATGAGATGCGCAAGAGGTCTGCATGTGTGGTTTCTCGCGACGTCTGTTCCACTTGAGGAACATCTTGCAAATATTGAATGTTTCGAACGTGCAGAGATTTGAGTCTTGAGAAAGGCAAACACCAGAATTCGTCTCTGGGGCGGTTTGAAACTGAGAATGTTTGAGTTACAGTTGCAGAACGCGTACGATTTCAGAGACTCGCTGTGAACGCGGGGTGGAAAGGTCAAGTGGCGGCAATTGCATCACTCTCCAATTGCAGTTCTGGATTGATGCGTGGTCGCTGCAACGGTTGATGGACTTGGGAACAAAATGCGCCGCGTTTTGTGGCCGCCAAGAAACAGTTAGGCCGCCATCGGCAATTCGAGCTGGTCGGTGACCAAGACAACAATGGGAGCAGTCCAAAAATACTCACGCGACAGGGAAGTGCGTCTGCTTCGAAATTCAAATGAATATTACAATTATTCTGAGCATTGTTTTCCTGGTATTTGCGCGCGCCATGAATTCATCAGAAGGGGCAGAAAAGCCACGCGAGCCTCCAAAGCCGAAGATGAGGAATCTATTTTTAATAATCACAACAAATATCCCACCAAATGGACACACCTGGGCCTTAAGGTTGAGGAGGAGAACAATTGCTCGCCAGTTAGACGCTCTTGAGGCTCACTTTTCTGCTGTTGTGGCAAAATTACTGCGTCTTCAAGTGCATTGAAGAGCATGAGAGAATCGGAAACCTTCCTCAATGGGAAAAGCATTTCATCGTCGTTGCGATGTATTTATAAATAGAGGAATTATCTCTCTTCAATAGATGTGAAATATAAGAATCTTATTTAATTTGTGGTGTAATGGATACACAATGTTAAGAGGATAGACTTTAAGGCGTTACGGATTTGTGCGAAGTGTAGAAAATGCATGATTTTGCGTCATGATTTTATAAAATGAAGAAAAAGCAGAGAGTAATAGTTGATAGTCGGAAATGATGATTAGCACAGACTCAAAGAATGTCCAAGGAGGACATAATATGCCATACATCAGATAGTTTCACAGTTTCTCTGCAGAATCTTCAACACTTCAGAGGCACTTCTGAAGGTTCTCACGAAGTTTAGGCTCTTCAAATGCTCAGATTTTAGATTGTATGAAATGATTTAAAAATCCCAGGATTTGTTCATAAAACATTTCTGTCTTGATTTTCTAGTTTTGTCATTGTAAAATTAAATTTTAAAAAATCTGATCAAATTGTGAGGTCATGAAGATTATTTAAAGACTAATTTTAATTTTTTCAAACCTGGAAATCAGTAAATATAGCGAATATCACAAAATTTACTAGAAAATTTACCACTTTAAAGCACAAACTGTGGAAAAACTAAGCAAAGAAACATTTGTCTAGACTAAAATAATATTTTTGAGGTTATGATTGACTTTTAATATGTTTTCGACTACGAGTTTGAGAGTAAATAATTTTTTAAATACGTCTGCAAAACTGTAAACCGCAATTTTTACCCCTTGAAAATACATTTTGGCAAGAAAAATCACGAAATCTCTTGCAGAAAAAGTCCATTCATATCGAGTGCGGTCTGTAACGCATAAAATGCCAATAAGACGCCGCGAAAGAGTGTATCTGGAAATTTAATTCATTTCAAATGACTTCCATCACTTTGGCCCGATGATGGAAATAAAAGAGAGGAGAAAAAAGAAGAGTGCCTCAAATTGATCTGGGCTTGAGTAAATAAATAATAATTTCTTGTGCTATGGCGAGGATTACAAGTGATGAGACAAGATGGGAAATGGCATGAATTTCTTCTCCTAGGCATTTATGCCTCGCCTCTCGAGCCACCAGAGAAATACAAAGAAACTCTGCATAGTGTTTATTTTTACAAGAGAGGCGATTTTTTTTCCACCGCCACAATGATCACGAGATTATTGTGTGTGAGAACTTTTTCATTCCGCCACGGGACAAATCAAAATTTTAACTGCCAGGCTGTTGAGTTCTAAAGAGATGGTTTTTTTGACGAAAATGGCATCGCAGCAATAAATTATACCATTCTTTGTCTCATGAATTCATAAATTTCGCTCCAGTGACTTTTTTTCACAAGGCTATTTTTGGCTGAGCTCAAGCATAATTGCGGGAGGATGTTTGGGAAGAATATTGTGTGATAAATAATCAAATTTCGTGAGCAATTAATTGAATTGATGACACTTTTTAGGAGGGGTTGGAACTCAATTGAGTTATTTGATGGGCTTTTTTTCGACACACACTTTTAATTTTATCATCAAAGCGCGCGAGTGAGGTTTGGCAGTTGGTATTTGGAAAATGTTGAGAATAGATAAAGTGGGCACAAAATTAGTTGTCGGACAAGAGAAAAGAGCTGCCATGAGTTGATTTTTTTTTGGTGAATTTTATTGGTTTTAATTCGTGTTGTTTTCGTTGCTTCCTTCCAGAGATCAATTAACTCCCTAAAAATACGCATCGGAGGAGTGCTTTCATGTAGGATATTTCCAGAGAAAGAGAGAGAGAGTGGCTGAGCCTCGCGGGGGAGGATGACGACTTGCAGCAGTTCAAGAGATCTGCCCGAATTGTGAGTCAAATGAAGAAATTCCACTTGTCTCGTGCCTCTCGTGCTTCGGATGAGTTATTGGAGGAGGAATCTCGAGTGATCTATGGGACTCTCTAGAGGGGAGACACACTGTGAACACGCACTCAATTGATCTACATACAGAGCCACACTTGAGATTCCCGGCGAGATGGCCGAGGAGGCGTCAGAGGAGATGAAGGGCATCAATGCCACGGAGAAGTACACAAAGAAGTTCGATCCGGAGGAGATTAGTCCACTTAAGCAGCCCAAACAGGTGACAAATTCCACTAATCAAGACACTTCCGTCACCGTCAGCGACAGTCCTGAGGTTAATCCACCCAAGAAGAAGACAAAGTACAAAATTACAGGTACAACTGCTCAGGCAATTAATTAAGGCCAAAGGGGGAGATAGTATGGCTAGAATCTGTTCACCTTTTTGTTCACACTTCCAATGCTTTTGAAACTCAGTATAAACAGTCTTTTAATAGCCACAATTCTCTCATTATCTTGAAATTTGAGATTTTAATTCAAAATTTAACAAGAAAACTCTTTAAATGAACATTTTTGAGGTTATGTTTGGCTTTAGTACAATTTGCAATGTGTTTTATAGCTTAAAAATTTAGAACCGCGATCTTTATTACATGAAAATGCTTGATTGATTGGGAGAATTAAATATTTTTGATGATTATTCATTCAAGTCTTGCTTAATTCAGTTGCATAACCTTGAAAAGATCATTCTTAAGAATCCTTTTGTGAGAACATAATAAATAAAGTTGTATTTGGTTTTAAGAATGCATTAATTAGTGTGAAAACACAAATATTGCTAATTTTGGAACAGTTTTTAGTACCTCCGATAAGGTGTTCACCACTTCTGCCCATATTATCTTCCCCTTGATTAAGACATCACCGACTAATCTCGGCTTCTGTGCTCACGCAGATCACTATGAGAGTGTCATCGCGCAACTGGAGCTGAACAAGAGATCTCAAACTGTGTTCCTCTGCCTCATTGGACTGTGCATTGTCCTCGTTGTTGTCCTGATCAGCATGATTGTCTTCTGGCCCAGGATTCACGACTACATGACAGCTGAAGTGTGCGTGGACAAGGAGTGCCTCGATGCCAGTGCTCAGGTGAAAAAAAAATATGAGGAACTATTTATGAGAAATTGACGAATCTTGTTCGGTGTCACTCCGAGATTTTTCTAATTAATGATTCACTCGAAAGGAATCATTTTTCTTCCCAGCGCTAAACAAGTTAATGACACTCCAAATGAGTGTAAACACCCGGATTCTCAGAGTTGGGATCCATTCTGAGCTAAAACACTAGCATGTTGACACAGTTATTTATTCCCAATGTGACATGAGAGCTTTAATCATCGTTTTTGTGCGTGCAAGAACATGAAGAGGAACATCAAAGGGTTCACAGAGTCTTCAGCACAAGCCACACTTTTGGAAACGTGTCTCTTTTCTCGTGTATTTGAGTATTTTTATTAAATAATTACATCTACCAATTGTCAATTGATTGAAGAGACGAAGACACAAAGAAAATTGCGTGCCAAAAATTCGTGGGTAGATTTTATTCTCTTTCTTTGGTTAACTGTGCAAATTTGAAGAATTTATTCTAGTTGAGCAAATAATATTTTACAAGGTCAAAAATGTACACTTCACACAATTTCCCAAAAGGCACTCAAAGAGTCACGTTGATAAACCCCTCAGGCGTAATATTGAAACGCGCCTGGAAGCGAAGGAAGTCGTTGCGTATGAATAATAAGCCTATTTATCAACACTAAAATACACTATCATATTGCACCAATTACTCCAACAATTCTTCATTGCTTCCGAAAGTGGTCCTAAAAATAAACAATGTGCTCCTCCTGTGTGGAAAATAAGAGTCCAAATGCTTTGGCTTTTCCGTCGTGTTGTGGCTTTTCTCACTTGCCATGCGTTTATGATTGAATTTCACCCACAATCGTAACTCTTTAATGGTGTTATTTTGACTGCGTAAAAAAAACACATGTTAAATAAACTTATTAACACTTTTATCGGAATTTAATCATATTTATGGTCGGGTTTGTCTGAGGGGAATTTTTCTCATCCATAAGCGAGTATTTTGAGTTTATCCAGAAATGTTTAGCGAAGCGACAAAGAGTGACGCTGGCTTTTGCCTAGTGCACACGAGATGGCACTCAGTGTTGCGGATAATATTTTGTATGATGACGAAATGCAACCGTCATGTGCGTGAATTTCCCCCAGAAATGAGTAAAAAGGTGTGCAAATTAAAAAGCCATTAAGTTATTTGGCAGTTATAAAAGTGCCGACCAATTTCCCAAAGTCTATCACTCTTCGCGATGGTGCTAATTGGATCATTTGTTCTGCTGGTGACACTTGTGATCTTGGTAAGAGGATATCAGTGAACTTTAGTGAATGATTTTGGACATTTATTCAGTGATTTCCATTAATTTCCTTTAAAGGCCGCCTCTGTTGCTGGACAAAGCGGACTAACTGCCACAACCGTTGTGAGTGATTGATATTTTCTTTTAAATAAGGTGTTTTGTGAAGTGTCTAAGGGAATAATCCCATTACAATCAAGTGATTGAAGTTATCGACACTTATCGATACGACTTACGCACGATTTTCTCTTTTTTTACATGGTTTTAGTGGAAAATTGAACTGATATAAACTAATTAGTTCTCATGTGGTCGATTTGAACTATTTTTCCCTAAAAATTTTCTTAAAATCTTTCAATTTGTGTGTCGATAAGTGTCGACAAGTGTCGATAACATCAAAGTAAAGAGATGTAAATGGAATAACACACTAAGAAGCGTAATAAAACCATATAAATACTATACAGGAACCGAGACAATGCTGCCAAATGCCCAATTTCGTTCATCCCAATCTGAAGACAATGTGTGAAAATAAATTCAGGAACCCAAGCCAGAGCAGTGTAAGTTTAAAGATAAATCATAATACCTTGTTTTCTTCTACTAAGAAGGACTTTCTTTTCTTTAAAGTGCGCTGGTGAGTGCGTTTTCAACTACGCTAGACTTTGGCATGAGGAAATTCCTGTTCAGAACGCTCTTCTCAGTGTTCTGTATAGAAACGCACCGCAGCCTTGGAGACCTTATATCTATCGAGCCGTGACAAACTGCATAAGATCCGGTTCTGGCATGTTTGACATGTTTAAGTCTATGCACTTGTCGGCAACTACTCCGGGCCAACCGCCGACTTCTTGCAGTCAAACTCCCAAGTATTTATTCGGATGTATTGAGTCGGAAATAATGCAGATTTGTCCGCCTGTTCGCACCGTTCAGAGTAGGATTTATTGCTATCTTTAAGGTGAATGAAATGTGTAATTTCCCTATTTTTCTTCCCAGATCCGGCTTGCGCTGGCTACAGAAAGCAGATGAATTTAATGAAAACGGGGATTCAATTTAAATGAGGACGTTTTGTAATTTTGATGATAATAAATTTGATTCAGAAGCATCTGTTTTGTTGTTTTAGTGTTACTATGATGAAGTTGTGGCTCACTTTGCTCAGTTGATCACACTGTTATGTTTGAGCAGCAAGAAAAGGAAAATAATGGGAAAACGGAGGAAAATGCTGATTTATTAACAGTTGATGCTAAAAAAAACCACCAATTTTTGAGCAATTAAGGAAATTTTTAGAGTTCTTTTAAGGCATTAAAGCCTATTCTAATGAGCTAATTCATGCTCTTCATTAGTGATTAAGTCATGGCATTTATTTCTTTAGGGAACGTGAAATTATATTATCTGTCTCTTCTCTTTTAGATCCTAAGGTGGTCTAATATATCCCTGGATCCTTGTCAGGATCCCTTCGAATGGAGTTGCGGAAAGTTCGACAGTGAATTTCAGCACCACAGTTTTCACGGAATGCAACGAGGAGAGTGGAACTTCAACTCCCACCTCGAATACGAGGGTTAGTAGATGATTTAGCTAAAGTTTAAGATTGCATTAAAAAATGTGTGCTTTTGCAGAAATCTCCGAAATTCACTCATTCATCTCCAAACTGCCTAAAGACACAGTTTCGTATTCTGCCCAAGTGAAGATGAAGGTTTTGCATAAGAACTGCATGAATCTCGAGTCCAGCGATGATATCGAAGGGATGACAACAGTTAACAAGGCGATAGCGAACTTGGGTGAGTCATAAAATCTCTGACATCACTCTTCTCTCATGGTTCTTTATTACGCCCAATTGTAATTAGTGACAAATTGTCCTCCTTTCTCAATGAAAAACTGACACCCAATATTTGACACTCATTGTTGCGATGCTTGTCCATCGGCTGTTGACTTGCGCGCGAAATTCCGGAAGAGGAACATAAATAGTGGGCAAATGGCAAAAAACCGCGCACAGGTGTAAAAAGCTCATCTCTTGCACGGCGAGCTCATAAATCCAATCAATGTCAATGGTAATCGGCGTGTGATGCAATTTGCGGTGGAAGCTGGCATTTTCGGCAAAAAAAGATAGACAAATTTGTGAAATTATCCAAGATCGTGTGTGTAAAAAGGCCTTTTTTGTGGTATTGTGTGTACTTTTCTGCCTCCATTCAACTTTTGTATGTTCAGTGATTTATTACAAGTGTGTCAATTACAAAAAACGAGATACTGACTCCTAAGGTGTATTAAATAGTCGGTTCAATGGGCGATTAGCAGCTGGTGCAGGACGATCCTCCTGCGGGCGGGATGTACTCTAGATTCGTGGCCTGGCTCGAGGATCCCCCGAAGCCAGTGCTGAGGAATTGGCCAGACGATCCACCCGATCCGCTCGGACCGCTCACTGTGGCTGAGCCTGATCCCGAGCCGAATCCTGTGGCACCTCCGCTGTAGACGGGCGCGTCGTAGGACGTGAAGGGCTTGGACACTTCCTGGGCGGCGTTCGAGTGGAGCGTCTGGAAGCTGCCCTGCGAGAAGCCGCTGGCCGACAGGCTGTGCTGCGGCGCGACTTGAGTGATGCCGGCGGAGTGGAAGCCCTCATTCTGGACAGTCGGCTGGTACTCTTCGATGCGCGGCGACAGTCCGGCCGCGTGACCGTCAACCTGGTCAACAGTCTCGTACACAGCCTTCGATTCGACATTCTCAGTGGGAGTCTTGTACTTGATGAAGAACACTTCGGGCTTCTGGTGCTTCTGATCTGGCAGTTCGGGCACTTCAACGGTCCTGTCGATCACCCTCTTGTTGGTCAGCACGTAGACGATGGTTTTGGTGTTTTTCTGCAAGAAGGACCGAACTGGAGTTAGACCAACTGTCATTCCACGAACATTCGCAGCGAACACAAAATGCTAAGATGCTCAAAGTTGAGATTGTAAAAGCTATTTCTTTCGCTAAAATTTGAGCAATCGCAGCGACGATTAGTTGTATAAATAGCGTCATGCAAATAATCTCAAAAGTGACAGATTTACATTCTCTTAGACCCTTTGGGAAACCAAACTAAGAACAGTTCATGCAAGTTTGACTTTCTGTTTCCTTGCTGAGATCTGATCAGGAAAAAGCAATAAATTCAGCAAAATATTTAGCGAAAAAGAGCAGGAAAATTCGGCTTAGCACTTTCTGTTCAAGGGCTGCTAAAACCTGAGCTCAGCTTAGCACTTTTTAGCTAAAATACCTGCTTTTTTAGCTTTTGGGTTCGCTGGGTTTGGTGTGTATTTTAGCCATTCTGCATTGTCGCATTTACCTGAGCAGCAAGAGCGGCGCCCTGGTTGTTGATGATTGTCGTGGCCGGAGCCTTGATGAAGATGATCTTGTAGTGGGTTTGTGGCGGAGGCAGGACGATAGGCTCCTGTGGAGCGATCTCTTCCTGGTCCTCAGGGGCGGCGAAGACGTAGGTGTGCTTCGTGACAACGGGCTTCGTTTGCTGGATGATTCGGGTTGGCGGGAAGTTGACACGAGCGGCGCCAGAGTCGAAGCGTCCAGTGAGCTGAATTTCCTCATTGTGAGCCACTCCTTGGGTGATGTGCGATCCGCCCTGGTGGCTGAAGTCAGTCGCCACCTGGTGCTGGGCGAAGCCTGTGCTGCCGGTGTGGCCGAAGCCGGTGGATCCGCCGTCGAAGCGGGTCTGGGAGAAGCCAGTGGGGCCGTGCTGGGCGCTGAGCGTGCTCACGGAGCTGACGGGCGTGGCGAGTGTGGGGAAGCTGGGCAGGATCGAGCTGGCGTGCTGCTCTTGGTGCGCCAGGCCCGGATGGAAGGCCACGGAGGCCGTGGGGCCGGGCTGGTCGGCGTAGGTGACGAAGTTGACGGATGGGGCGCTGTTGGAGCCCGCGGTCGGCGTGAGGAGCGTCGTGGCGGGAGCGGAGAAGTGCGTCTGCGCCAGCGGAGGCACGTACTGGTTGCTCTGCACGTTCGTCGATCCGATGTGCTCGAAGGCGGACTGTCCGGCGGGGATTTCGTAGCTGCGCGAGGGCACCTGATCCACACTCACCCTGGACACGGTGGCAGGTGCTGATGGCTGGTTGTATTGGTAGCCCGTGAGGTGGCTAACATCCGGCCTGGCGACAGTCATCGCCACGATCGATGTGAAGAGCTGCGGAATTGCAAATGAGGGGATTTTCTCGAGTTTAATATCTTTCACAAATAGACGGTTATTGATGTCATCGGCGGATAATTAAGCTCATCGGGCAAATACACGGTCAGTCAAGTTAATTTTTAGCACTTTTGCTTTCGCCCCCCGTGAAGGATAATTTGCGGTAGATCAAGTCTGAAAAGTCAAAGATTTACTTTCGTTTTCAGTGCGTGGGCGAACATTGGGTAGCTGTTTGAGTAGTTGAATCAATATTTGAGATTTGAACTTGACATCTAAGGAATCCGCAAGAAATTTATCTTGAATTGTTATTTTTGGAAGATTTTATTCTTTCTGACTTGCTGAAGGTCAGGAATTCTATCGTTTTTGGAATGTGAGAAAAATTCAAATTTATTGAAAATGTCATCTTCAATAATATTAAGCGAATATCTCAGTAATTGATTATCTTGCTCGTCGTCATAGAATTCATTGGGAAATCTATTGAGAACGACAATCTCAATTGCATCAGATTTAATTTACGATTCTTTAGATAAAGAAGAACTTGTTTTATTTTATATCAACAGTATTTTATGCTGCTTAATCCATCAGGTTTGCAAGGGGGTCAAAGGGTAATGGGTCACACTGTAGTAACAACTCTTGAGCAACTTCTTATTCCTATTGTGCAAAAACAACTCAAAGTCACACATAATCCATTGACGAAAGTGATTCTCAAGACTCCCAGATTGACAGAAGAAATTATCACAGAGAAGAAAATTCACTCTAATCACGCACAACATCCGCTTGAGCTTCAAGTCAGAAAAGGTTGAGAGAAAACTCACCACTAAGACACGCATTTTTGGTCAAAATCTCACTTCTCTCCTCCTGACTTTATTCTCCACTGGAATTCTCAACTCAACTGAACACTAGATAGCGAATCACTTTCGCTTTTTATAGTCGCATCATCCCAAATGCTGAGAGAGACGCAAAGAAAAAAATCTTCCCACTTCTGCCACCGACACGGCACATAAGATGAGCGGCGCTGAAACATAATCCACAGTGAAATATACAAGAACAAGTATCTGGTGACCTTACATATAAAAATGCTTTTTAGCTGAAAAATTTTTCACACAGGCGAAATTAGTGTTTGCGGGAACCTGTTAGAGAGTTCTCTAAGCATCCACAAATGGGCAAAAAAAAATCTTTATGGAGGGAATTCTTGGGGATCCAATGCCGATTGATCATTTCGAAATCAAATCAAAGCTAGATATCCAAACTTTGAGAGTCTCTCTTCGCTAATTGAAGACTTTTCTCTAGCCGCAAAATTTATTTTATGCTCGAAAAAAAAACCAGTTTCAATGCTTGAAAGCGGACTTTATCGATGTCATGTGGATTTGTTCTTATGGTGTTAATCGATTTCTTGAGATGAGCATAATGACACGTGCGTTAACACTTGCCAAAAATGGATGGATGAAGTGCTTTTCTGCCTATCTCATTAAAATTAATCAGAGATTTCACAAAATTTGACATTTTGTGATCTTATTTTAACGTATGAATAAAAGGGTTTCCCGGGATTTTATTCTACATTGAAAATGCTGTTTAAAATTTCCCAATTCACAGCATCTCTTTCGTTATTGCACAACAAGGGGGAGATAATATGATCAGAAGTGGTGTACAGCTCAACAAGATATGTTCAAAAATTTCCAATAATCTCCTTTGAGTGTTTATTTTGCTGATTAATCATTCCGATTCTCTGAATTCCTTTTGATTTTTATGTAGAAACAATAATAACAATCCCTTTCTAGGTTATGTAACGAATCACGGACGGATTAAGTGAATTAATCGCATTCTGACACATTAATTCTTGTGCTCAAGTCCGAAAGATTTCTATTAATTGATAAAATTATGGATTTGTACAATTATAAACCTTTGATGCCAAAAAACACCACAAACTGTGTTGAAGCCGAAAATAACCCTAAAAAACGTTATTTAGATTTGGAAAATGTTGATTTAAAAATTTTCTGGACGATTTTGGCTCTAAATCACCAATTTTGAATAGTTTAGCAAATCATAAGAGATGATTTTGTGATCTAGAAAGTTTAAAAAATGAATTTTTGAAGATTTCTTAGTAATATTTTTAGGTTATGATCGGAAAGATGCTCTTAAAAGCCGGTTTTAAGTGGATTTTTACAGAAATATCGGTTGGAAACTGAAGTCTAACTAAAGTCTAGAATTGCCAGGCATATTTAGAAGATATGTACAGATTTAACGCATATTATAATCCCCTTGTTGCACAGTCGCAGCTCAAGTGTGTGTTATTTATCAGAACAAGGATGTGAAATCACAACGGGAGCTTACGTAATAACTCCCAAAGTCTCAATACTGTTGACCGTAAATTATGTTTGTGACTTTGGCTATGCTTCCCGCAAAATTTGATGTTTTTTTTCCACCATTCACGCGCCAACACGTCCGGCAAAAAAGCCCCACAATGTAAATTGGTGGAAGAATGAAAATATGCATAAATGAACATTATGCTGTTAATTGAGCGAAACATCAATTTGTCAATGGTCCTCTATCGGGCATCAATCCGCCTTTTGATATTGATCATACTTGAGATTGTGATATTGAGAGTGTGTGGCGGGTAAATGATCTCAAGACGTCACCTTAATCAGCTTCACGCGAGAGAATAGGCGAAGAATTTATGTATTTTTAAATTATCGATTGCCGGCGGAACAATTGCATATAAGACTTTTTGTGACGCGATGTGGAGTCTTTTGTGTGTGATTATTGAGAGAGGTCAAGATGAAAATTACTGAAATAGCTGCAAAAGATCAAGGAATTGATATTAGGAAATTCTTTGAACAATAAAGCAGTCGAAAAACTGCTCATTATTATCGATTTTTAGGCATAATTCACCTCGAATCTGGGGACATATTGGGAAAACTGCTCACAAGATATGTGAAAATGCGTGACTTTTAATTGTGCAATTGCGGATTTTGGTGCGGTGGTCAAAAAATTAAAATCACGCTAATTGATTGACGCGCAAAGAAGTCCAAAACTGTGTCAATTGATGCTCTTGCAAGTCACTATGGTGATGTTAATTTTGTTTGCGGTCAAATCGATCTATTAAGAAGAATCCGAATTATTATAATCAATTTTGTTTATCTTCCCAAATGACTTCATTATGGATTCGCTGAGCATATTTTAATAAATTCATGTCGTGTGTCTTCTGAAAGTTCGCAGAACAAACACGACAAAGCTATGAAATATCTTTATTTCTTGTGGGATTCATTGGGGAATTGTCTCGTCTTCACTAATTGATACAAGAAAATGCCAACTGAACATGAAAAAACTCTTGAGATTTCACTGGAAAAAATTAATATTGACTCAGTGACACGAAATAATTAATGAGAAATATGATTTGTCTGCCTATGTTTTGATGCCTTCATTGGTGGAAAGGAAGGTTTTTCAGCTCATTTGCATCTCTGCTGCACTTCGATTGCGCCACACTTTTATTCACTTCCCGCGAGAAGATCATCTTCACATCCACAAGTTGTTTTCAAAAGTGTTGTGTAAGAAATGGAGTTTTTAGAAAATCCGCAAATGAAAATTCAAATGAGATTCGATGGAATCTGAAATGAGAGTAAAAGTTTTTGGCAAATGCATAATTGATTAGTGATCTTTCCTATGTGTTAAATTGTATCATCGCGGCGTCTTATGAGACAAATGTCACGGAGATAAGATTGTTTTTTTGCGGCGAGCGAAGAGAAAGACTTTTACTCTGCTCACCCTCGGGAAGAAATGCCATCGAGCTTTTCGCGGTGGATTCAGTGGAGGCTCAGTGAAACCGGATTATTGTATAATTCAATTTTCATGTGTCTCTGACCTTGTGGAGAAGAGAGCCGAAGCGCGAACAAATAGAGAAAAGACGCTCCATGGGAGAGAATTGGTCAAATGCAAAATTTATTCATCGTCACCATGTTAAATGATAGTCAAAGATGATCTTACGACACACACTGTCGCGAGTGTCTAACTTGCAGAGCACGTAAAGCGAGACAATTAATCACCTGGGAAGTTTATGTGGTGAAGAAGAGAAGCGATGCTCCGAAGGTTGCCCAGCAGAAAGCACATCCGAATCGCTAATTTATCTGTCCATTCTTCTGATCTCCACAGACGGCTTTTGGATACTGGGCGACAGTCTGCTCGTGTGGGATTTTCGCAAGCAATTCGTGAAGCTGCAGTCAGAATACGGCGTGTCTCCTTTCGTCCAGATCCGCGTGGAGAACCGCAAATCGCCGCCACATGATGGCATCATCGTGATTGACGAGGGTGAAGTCAGTCTGCCCAGCAAGATGTTCTATCGCCTCGGGCCGCGCAGTGAGATTGTCGAGGGCTTCAAGATCCTCCTGCGCGACGTGGCCATCCTTATGGGAGTGGTGCACGATCGGGCGAAGCAATTCGCCGAGGACATCTTCAACTACGAGAAGCGCATCGTCAACACGATCAACGTGACGCAGCAGAACGACGATCGGGAGATCAACAAAGAGGTTTCGCTGGGAAGTGTCATGAAGATTGCTCCATCTGTAAGTCACAATCGTGGGTTTTGGTGGTGAAATCAAGGGTGAAATTGTTGAATCTTTTCAGCTGCCTCTGCTTGACATCATCACCACACTTTATCCCAACTCGAGAGTGACAGAGAACACGATGGTTCTGGTGAAAGACCTCGAAGTCTTGCGCTCAATGTCGATTGTGGTATCCACAACAGATATTCAGTGAGTTTTCCCCACCGAAAGTCCTGATATTGATCAATTAAAACACAGATTTTTGCAGAGTCTTGAATATGTATCTCATTTGGTCTCTGATTCGACGCTTCCTTCCCTTCATTTCGCGCGACTACCGGATAGCTTTGGAGGAGTTTGAGAGTAAACTCTACGGATTCCGGGATCCGCCGCCCAAGTGGTATTTCTGCACAAAACTCGTGAGAGACTGGATGTCCTTTGGCGTGGATGTTCTGAGAGAGAATCCTCAATTGATTGTCGTGAGTTATTTCCCGTACAAACAACAAATTACTGGGTGATTAATCACTTTTCGTGACTTGTAGCTTCATCAGAAAGACACAACGCATGAGTCGAAGGTTTTCTTCAGTGAAAAATTTACCATCGATCAAAATAATAACAGCGATGAGTTGGTTAAGTTGATTTTCTATCACATCCGCAACGAACTCAAGAGCTCAGTTAACGATGACGGACGGATTAGTGAGAGTTTGAGGACTTTCATCAGTGATCGACTGTCGGCTGTTGCTCTGCAAATCGGAATTCCCGACGACGCTGCCCAGACAGATGAGTTCCTGAACTCCTACTATGAGGACTTTACGCCACAGAGACTCTACTTTCTCAACAACTTGCGTTACAGGTGGAAATTCATCAAGGCGAGGACTGAGCTTCGTCTCACGAATCAGACGAGAAGTGAAAAGTATACTAAACGTTTTTGGTTGTTCTCTAGATCAATTTTTCTATGAGTTTTGTCTGCTTTCAGACTGATCAACGCTCTCTATCCAATTAGCGATGACGAGGAGAGGAAGTTTGTGCAATTTCATCCGGAACTCAACACAGTTGTGGTGTCTAGAAGAGCCCTGCGCAGACCGTATTTCCACCAAAACTACCCCTTGTCGGTGAACTTTGCCCACATTGGGAAGGATTTTGTCGAAGTCATTGTCGAAGCTATTAAGTTTCACCAAGAATCTCACGCCAGAATGATGAATAGCAGCAGAACGACTTCGGGAGAGAACAAATCCATCCACGAACTGTTCAGGTGTCTGACGAAGAAGTCTCCGTACGACACAACTTCCGTTCCAATTGAGGCTCAGAAGAAGCTCTACGTGGACATTGAGAGCAACAGAATCCTGCTTCGTGCCTTCAAGTCATTCCTCAAGAGTATTGATCACAATGTTCCGATCTACGACAGCACCGTGCCGGAAACTGTCACTTACGACTCCTTCGGGCTCAGGCGGAGACTTCGTCAGCCCGGCCTGAGGATCTTCAGCGAGACTGAGTTGCTGGTCTTGTCGCAGTTGCAGCGTTACTGCGTTCTTGACGACGCCAGCAGCTATGATCGGATAAAAGTCTTCATGGAAATGGAGTTTCCGAGGCGAGAAATGTAAGGATAATTGTATTCAACCAAAGGGAAAGTCACTAAAAAGTCGTTAAAGTGCCACAAGCTGTACTCGAACACTTAAAAGAGGTGTTCGAGGTTAAGATTAAGAGATCAGCACTCGATTGTTTTTATATGCTGTTCAAATTTGATCAACTGAGAACGAAATCAAGCTTTTTCTATGCGAAAAGCTTTATTTTCGCGCTCGAATTTACTTCTCTCCTGGCCAGGATCACGCCTGGGAGTCAGAAAGTGTGAGAATGCGCGAGAAAAGTGAATATAATTTAATTTATTTAAATATTTTATCAAAAATAATGATTTATGGCTTATTTTTATTCAAATTTTGAGTAGGGATTTATTCCATACAAATTAAGTATTTAAATATTTCATTGGGACTTTTAAAGATTCCTCAGGAATCTGCTAGTGACTTTCCCCTTGTATCAATCTTACCTTTCAATGATCTGACGATAGAATTTCCCATCAGCTTCCAGATTCTCTGGCATCACGTGCCCGAACTGAGCAAAGCCTTGTCCTGTGACGTCGATACTCGTGAATGTCGTGACGTGTTGTAAGAGTTCACTTAATGAATTTACGTCGATGTAAGTAACCTTCCTATGCGCAATAGATAACTATGGCAATATTACTGAATTAGAGACAATAAAACTTTGTAAGTTGTATTTGTGAGAATGACTATAAATTTTTGGAGTCGCAAAAAAAATGTATTGCCATTAAGATGCTAAATAATCACAGAAAAATTTCAAGAGAGAAAATTGCTATTTTATTGCCTCTGATAACCCATTGAGATCGTCTCGCCGGAGTCCATAAGAGCGCTTCCACCCAGTGATTTACTGCATTTTGATGGGAGACCTGAATAAGGAAGAGATGCTCAAAGTGGCCAAAAATGGTGAGTGAAGAAGTGAAACACGGATGTTTTCTTTTTGTAATTTTTTCTGGAGGAATGTGTGGATTGATTTATTCGCAGCGACTATTTAACGGTTATAAAACATTTTATAATCTTAACAACGTCATTATTTTTAAAGTTTTTTTTTATTTTATAATATTTTTATGGGTTTTAAATATATTTTTTTCTTGCATATCTGGCGCATTGTTCATTTTTTCTTCTTCATCTCTCATCAATGATTTCATTTATGAATCCTTTTTTTCCTTTTGTTTTAATTTTATGCGTATAATAATTCTCATTTTTTTAAATTATTTAATAGTAGGTACATATCCTATACCATTCATTCAACGTAATCATAATTTTCTTTTTTGGTTTGTCTTATACGTTCTCTTTCTCGACCTTGTGTTTTTTTTCGTACTTCTGCCTTCCTTCTCGCCATTCTCGCTCCTTTTATGCTCCCTTTTCCGCTGATTTTTCATGAATGGGTTTACACACCAAATGTAATCATACATTTTTTCGTTTATAGGATGTCAGTCTGATTTTTATTTTGTTACAATATTAAATCTGTTATCAATTTACAAGTCATTTTTTTTTATATCTTCATCCTATAATTATACATTCATTTCTTCTTATTATTTTTCATTTTTTTTCTTATTCAGCAAGAGTGTACGATGAGGTGGTTAAGAAGAGTTAAGAGATTCTCTTTTGAATAAACATGATGCTTTTTCAGTTGTCAGGAAGTCGTAAATGATCATTTATTTCGGAAAGTTATGAAATGAGTCAAAAACCTATTCAATCTGATGATGAGTTTCAATTTTTTTTTCTTTCATTTGGAACATAAAAGAAATGTCTAAAATGAGGGTAACAAGTGGCTCTCTTAAGACTGCTCCTTAATACCATCGCTCTGATCTTGATGATAAAATTATTAGGATTTTCAACAACAGTACTTTCTATTCTGTGTATATATAGAGAGAAACATCGAATTATCTACAATAATTTTCTATAATTTATTTTTTTCCATGCTTTTATCTTAGAGAGGAGAGTCTCATTGGCTAAAAGACATGCTTTGGGAGGAAATAAACATAAAATTCGCTCTTTTAAGGAATATTTTTCAATTGGTTCGTTCGATTTTTTTTTTCTTGTCTTTATCAATCGTTCACTTTTTTGAACATATTATATTAAGTTCTTTGGCGTGTCAATTTGATATTTTACTGTCTTCATTTTATAATTTTTTCTTTTATATTGTTGTCCTTTTCGATATGTTCACTATTGAATATAATTTCTACATCCAATTTTCGAAAATATTACTACTCGCAATAAAATAGATGCTTCTCCGTTTGTTAAAGGAAACGCAAATTTGGAAAAACCAAAAGCAAAACATTGGATAATCGTACTGTTGACTTCTTGGGTATGACTTTTATTTCTTAGCCAATTCGAGGATAAAAGTTTGAATTGTTTTTTTTTCCTATTCTTGTACATCCTTTTCACTACTGCGCAACACATTTTCACGGTGTTGCCTGACAGAATTTCCGATCTCTTTCACTGGTTCATCGCGTTAATTATGCTGTAAGATATCGTTTTTTTTCCATTATCTGTATTGGAAAAATATTTTTATTAAATGAATTCATCTTGATTCCTTTACTTTGTTATTGGTTATGTGGGATGATTTCTTGTTTCCTTTTTTTCTTTCATTCAATAAAATAGCAAAAATTGGTTTTACAATTTGTGTTGATTTTATGTAAAAATTTCCATCAATGGTTCGCATTTACTTAGTCACTTGATAGAATATTTTGCAAATTTTTTTTTCAGTTAGACGTAAAATGGCGCAATATGTCTTAGTTTTATCCTTAAAGTTCTTTCTATTCTTTTCATTTCATTTTGATTATGACAAAATTTATTATTTAAAGTTGCTCCATATTCACTTATTTTCATCATTTTTTCTTCTTTTTTAATATTCTTTGTAATGATAAAAGCTCTGTCTCTGAGGAAAATTGTCCTTATGATGAAACAAATGTGATGAGAAACCAAGTTTTCACATTAAACGATAATGAAACGAATCTTTTTATAGAATAAAAATATACTCAGGCCTCTTTTTCTTATCTCTGTGACACTGTCTTTTATTTGCTCACTAAAATCTGTCTGGCAAAGATGCTTCTGAAATACCTCTAAAAGTGTATTGAGATGTTTTCTCTGTATGTGCTTTTGGGCTGTTTTCTCTTAAGAAAAAGGAAGAATAGGAGGAATAGATTAAGATGGTATTTTTTTTTGTGGAAAAGAAGTTCTTGATCCGCCTACGGATAACTTGTTCTTGCTCATGTTCACTTTAGCATCATTATACAGATTTATAATTGCAATTAATTATTTTCTATTGTATTCTAATACTCTCTTTAATCGTCGCTTTTCGTCACCTTTTAATAATTTTTAATATTTAACTATTAGATTTCTGGTTTTTCTCTCTCTTTTTTTTTATTTATCTATTCTACTGCAAGGAAGATTTCTCATTTGACTCACTTTTTTTCCTCTTCTTTTTCTTTATTCTTCTTCTTTTTTTATACATAATGATGTTAATGGTAATTGAAAACGATTTTCATCCTCTTGTTAATTATTTCAAATATAATAATATTTGTAAATTTTCTATTATTCGTTTATTTGGTTTGCAGTCAAGATTGCAGAATAATTTTCTAGGCTAGCGCATTTTTTGTCCTTTACTGTGTTCACTAAGAATGATTTTTTTTCTCAATATTCTTTATTTTTTTAATATCCATTTTTTTTTAGTTTACATTTCTGAATACAAAGTAGAAAAAATGAAATTCTCTCAAGTGTATTCGTTCACTACTATCATTGCTAAGTTTAAATCTTCTTCTCTTGTTGGTTATTTCTCATTTGCAATGACACTCTCACCTTTTTGTTTCTTTACAAAATATACCGCCCGATTAATTAAATTTGTTTCTCACCTATTATGAAAAATTGGAATTTATCTAGTGTTTTTACGTGTCTTACTTTGAACATATTCTGATGATTTTCTTCTCCTTGTTTCTTAAATTAAACTCTTTACTCTTTTTCTTTCAGTATTAACTCTCTAAAATGGCAGGAGCATTTAGTCAGTGAAATTGTATCTTTGCTTGTTTTAAAATTCATAATATATATATATATATATTTCCTTTACTCAGAATTGAAAACAAATGGAAAGAAAATGTGTGAAAAAATGTGAATTACTCTTATGATCATTCTTCTTTTCCTATACAATATTAAAGCACTTTTTATAACAAAAGCCTTTAACTTACTTCGTGATAATTTTATGTGTGGTTTGATGTTTTCATTCAGTGATGTTAAACAGTTGTAAATAAACTGGATGTTAAAATTGTATTCTTGATATTTTATCGTCTGGTAAAATGGTATTTATAAGTTTACTTTAATAAACAATATGAATAGTTCATATCTTTTCTCATCTGTTTAGTTAATCTCTTCTTTTTTTCTTAAATCTCTTGCAAAGCATTTAAATTTTTTTTATGTAAGATTTATTTATAAAATATTTCTTTATTCACCTCTTTATACAGCTATTTTTCTCTCTCTCTCTCTCTCTGAATATTTGGTTTTGCATTTTGTTTGATATTTAATAATGAATCTTTTTGGGTGCAATGAGAAGCTAAGGAAAAATTCGATTTTTTATATTCTTTTGTCTTACTTTTTTTTCTCTCAATAAAATCTGCAAAACTTTTTTCGAGGCCGAGTTCTATATAAAATTGTTATTATTTACACGAATTGAAGGGGGGGGGGGGAGAAAATCGGGTGGAGAAAATGATTTGGAGTTTATGTTACAAAACAAGTCCCGATGAAACTGATATCCTTTTATCCACTCTCTTTATATTGTACTTTATGAATGTGATTTCATTTTATGTTTTCTCAATATTTACAGTGTGTGTGTGGTGTGAATTATCTGCATTCTAATTTTATTATTTATTTTCAAGAGAATTGGAAAACAGAAGAGTTTAGAATGAGAAGAGGCTGATAAATGAAAAGTATATATTGGAAGAAGTCTCAAAGTGAGTGGAGGGCAAATGAGGATTAAGAAAGTGGAAGCTGAGCGCCTTTATACATACAAGTTTACAAAAGAGTGAAAATTATACTTGAGAAGACAATAATAAGAGATAAAGAGTGCATGACTTGCGGACGGTTCTCTTTTCACAATATGTCACATATTTTACATAACAGGATTCTCTGTCTCTGATTTGTTCTCTTCATATTTTCACTTTTCTTACTTTTACTATTTTTTTTTTATTTATCTGCTTAAGACATAAACTGAGGACGAAAAACCAAAATTCAACCCTTATGCAATGGTCAAAAGAATCTCGATGAAAATGATGGCGTAAATAATAAAGTTCGACTGATTCTGATGCTATTTACACGTTGAATGAAGTTTCTAAAAAATGATATATATTTATATGTATGTATATTGCGTTTAGGGCAAAAATATGAGGAATAAAATGTATGGTAAAGGAATTGTCTCTTAACTAATTAATCTTAATAATTTAATTTGTATTCATAAGACATGGTATTTGGTTTTCTTCACACCCTTTCTCACTTGCAGTTCTTCAGCGCCATAGTTTTGAGCTTTCAAAACTCTCGAGCTTTGACTCCTCTCTCAATAGCCTTGCTATCTATATAGCAACTTTATTTATGTACATTTTGTACTGACTCTTACTTAACATACTGCTGTTGTCTCTGACCAGTACATTTGTAAGTTTCTCTTGTTAGATTTTCATTGCGGGAATTTTCTCTTGAGAAGCTTTTATCTCTCTACACTTCCATTGTCTATCTATATTAAATGGGTCATTTTCTCATCTATGAGGAAGATTTCAAAGGAAAAAATTTACAAATATGATCGAGGAAAATGAGATTAACGCCCTTCTTCGCGATCCATTACAATCATTTACACTTAATAAACATTCACAGTGTTTTCTTCTGGAGCTTCATGAAATCTCTGGGGAGCTTTTAAACTTTTTACTCTTCAATTACATAGAACTCTTCTATTTACACATTTTTTTCCATAGACTATAGTAGCGATGGGGGATAAATTGAAGTTATTTATCTACAGTTTTGGGGGGAAAAAGTTTAGAGGGAAGAATACAAATCATAAATAAATATTCTTTATTCTTTTGAGGGGCGGATGAGAGAAAAGTCAATAGTGAAAATTTCTTGCCTTCTTCCCGAAAAAAAATGTCTTTATTCTTTGCATTCTCGAACTCCTCCTTGCCATTGACTTTTAGTCACTTTGGCGAGATTGCAAGAAATGGATAGAAAATTGTCTATTTTCCGCAATGGATTAGCGATTGTGAGTGTCAGAATAGAGAATTTCCACCCTTTTCTTGCAACTTCCATGCATTCACTTTTGCCGTCTTCTAATGGCATCTTTTCCATATGGTTTTAACAACTAAAGAAAATCCATTTCGAGGGTGTTTTCTCTGAGAGAAATTCGCAACACTCATTCATGGAATTTCTCCCAAAAAAAACATCCTTTTTAAGAACTAATAAAAAACATCGCGGTGCAAATTAATTATCCACACGAGGGTTTTCTTTCGATCATTCTCTCTCTCTCACTCTCTCTCTATCGAAATTCATGTTCAGCGATTTGTGAGCATTTTCATCTCTTTGGCAATGATATGTCTCAAACATATTAGAAGCATATTAATTTATTTTTCTCGTCTCTCCTAATCTTATATTAATGAAAATGATTTCTAAAAATAGGCATCTCACTCGAACTCATTCAGTATTGATGAATGGGTCTATTCTGGGAGGATTGAACAGAAAACTTTCGGCTCAAAGTGCTCTCAATATCGATTTTATTTGCTCTCGAGGGGGGCGTAACTCTGCTATTGGCGTATATTTTGTGGAAAATTTTTCCCCGAAAGAAAATCCTTTTGTTTTTCACTCTGCGAAAAAAAGAAGCAAAAAAAAGAGGCGAATTTTTACCAATAATCTAACTCAGAAGGTAAGAATACTTCTAACGCGGTGTACTTTTTCACTCTGAGGGGCGCCAAACTTTTTTTGGTTTTATCTTTTTTGCGTGCCTGGGAAACGAACGTGGAAACGAATAAATATGATGACATGCTTACTAAATACACCCTCTAATTGTTACATTAAATTGTCCAGCGTAAATAAGTAGCCTTTACTCATTTTACTTTAAATAATTTGGTTTCTTTTCCATTATGATATGCATATGTTTGAGTCTTTCAGCTTTATTACCTCCTTCAATTTCGCTATTATTTGAATTTTGTCCAAATAAAATTGCTTCTCTTTGTTCAAATGTCCCCAAAAATGAATTGATACAAAATTTTTACTGCTCCGAAAGCCCTCAAAAGTCACTTTTCTCGCAAATGAAAAGGAAATATTTCACAAAAACAAGACATAAAAAGAAATCTTTCTGGTAATTTCATCTCTCATATGATTTTGCTCTCATTTAAATGGTGTTCGTTAACTCGATTTGTAATTGATTAATCCATATTTAATGATTTCAACATCCTTCACAATTCAAATTCTCTTTTTTTTTATTATTAAATTACGTGAATGCTTTGCTTTTTTTAGAAGATATTCAGCGCATTGATGTTTCTTTAATTGTTAATAAGTTTTTTTTTAGTATTCGATATTTTCTTTACAATTTTTTTTTGTTTAATAATACTTGTTATTTCATTTGTATCATTTTTTTCCTTATAAATTTCTTTCAATAATCGTATAATTTAATAATTTTTATTCTCTCTCTCCCAACTCTTGTTCACTTTTCTGTAATAAGATTATTAAGCATTCTAATAAATTATTTAATTTATTAAAAATTTAGCATCACGATTTCAAGTTCTTTTCTCTTTATTTCTTGGTTTTATTCCTCACATTATTCAGCATTTTATACTCCACCTCAAATTGTATATTTATTAGTTTTTCTTTCATGTTTTTTTTTTCTCTTTATCATTGTAATTTGGAATTTTGTGATATTTTATACAATTCTTATGTCTTAAAATTTGTTAAATTCCCTTAAAAAAATTATATAGAATTCAATTAGCTTTTTTTCTGCTATTTATACGCACTTCTTGAAAGACATTTCTCTTTCACTTTTTGTTTCCTATTTGATGAATTTTCACCTTCTGTTGTTCTTTTCTTCCATCATGTCAATATAAATTTACTTAGTTATGTTTTTTTTTCGTGAGTTTATCTTCCACTTCTAGCTCTTCTCTTCTCTCTATTCTTAATATTTACTTCGGCAGTTTTTTTATGCACCGGATATGAATTTTAAAATTCAAAATTTATTCATCATATGTGTCGGCCGTTTTTGGTGATGGAAATTATATATTTCTAAAATAAATATAGAATATTCTTTAAACTTATGAAGACTTGTAGGGAAATCCAACAAACGCATTTTACTATGTAAACATCCTAAACGTGAACTTATGAAATTATTCAAAGAAAAAATATCCAACATTCAAACTGAGAATAAAGATGGAAACAATAAGTTTTGTAGTATTTTTTTTTTCATTGACTATCTCTGCCTAAAACGTTTTTTTTGTTGCTCTTGTTACACCCTTTTCTCTATACAAAAATTATTTATTTTATTTATTTCTTCATTCACTTAAACAGGACATCATAAAGGGGATATCTTTTTAGGAACACAAAGAATACAACATTTTTCTCTAATAACATCTTTTGGCTTCACAACAATCCATAATATTAAATTTTTTTTTTGTAATTTTCTCATACTTTTCCTCACTGATATCTTCATTTTTTTTCATCTTCTTCTTTATCATGAATTAGAGACGAATGCATGAGGCATTCTTTGAAAGTTTTACTTTCACTGAATTAATTTATCTATGTTTTTTTTCTTTTATAATTAAATATTTTCTTGCCTATTATTTATTTCACATTTGTAGTGTCCTCGATTCTTCTTCCATCTCCAATGCTGTTTTATGTAATTCTCTTTTATTTTTGCCTATGATGATAATTATGAGAACGAGTAGGTATTCTTGTGAGACGTTCTTAGACTGCTTTCGGTGACTCGGGCAGCCAACCAAATACTTCACATGGCCAGAAAATGGCACGAACTGTCTTTTTCACTGGAAAAATATGCAAGACTCTCGTTAATGACCATTAATAGTGGCCACGAGTGGAATTATTTTTTTTAGTAAAAACTTTCATGCAGAAACATAAAATTTCGGGCGAAAAAGGGGTCAAATTGGGTGGCTTTTCTGGCGAGATATATATGAGAGAGAAAAGTTCACCCATGGATAGAAAAATTGCTCATCTCAACAGTTTATTGGTGAGGGAGAAACTTTATGCAAATTTCACGTAATTGGGATGATACAGAAGAGAGAAACAGGGGTGGGCAAGTCGCGAATGCTCACACAGAGTGAAGAAAAGATGTGTCTATAGTGTTCCAATTATAGAGTGACGAGGTGGCCTCTCAATTGCCTCCACGGAAGTGAGAGACTCTTCTGGGAAATGTGCTGATTCGCATGAAATCACACACGCTGGCTGCGATGCGCCATTTTCTGGTGCACATGTGTCAAGAGGAGGGCAAATTAGCAATTTCTCCGAGTTGATTAATTTTGCAAATTCAACAATTCACTCTGGAGGCCAGTTTGCAAATGCACACGACGTTCCGGCATAGTGTATTAGGGATGAATTGCCCCCTATTCGCTTACTTAGCCGCCCCTTGACTCGAGTGCCACACGGAGAGTTCGGTGTGTGTGTCCTCAAATGGGGAGTTTTAAAACTGTGTCGCGCTGGAAAATTGATGCTCCACTGAACTCAATGGGGCCCTCCAGCAACCACCCAAGGAGAAGATGAAGGAAAACCACTGAGTCACGCGTGGTGTTTCGCACGATCTTCCTCCAACCACCGGTCGGAGGAATTTAATTTTAGATCTCCAAGTCCAATTATAGAACAACTAAAAATGAGACATTCGGAATTTCTCCTCTTCTGCCCTAATCGGTTGACTTTTCCAAGGGCACAAGAGAGAACAGTGTGAAAAGAGATGGAAATGGAGCGAAAATGGTGGGCATAAAAAACACTTCAAGCTTATTAGTTTTGCAAACTCAAAATTATCGACAGAGTGTGGGAGTGTGAATGGTGCAAGTGTGTGGTTCGCATTCACTGGCGGCAAGATACTCAAGAGTCTCTCTGGGTGCTTTACGGGATGCTGAAGAAGAATATTTCGTGGTATTTTCTCAAGTGGAAGTCCTGAGAAAAGCTGTGTTTTCCCCTAGAAACGATGGCTTAAGAGACTGGTTGCATCATCTCAACGCTGATCAAACATGCATTAGGGGAGAGTGGCTTCGGACAACGCGTTTCACGATGGTTTCTTTAGGAATGTCTTGAAAATGTATTCTAGAAGTTAATGAAATTCTACTATACTAATAATTTCTCACATATTTAGAGCTTGTATTAATGAAAAGTAGAAAAAAAATCATTTTCACTACGAGTGGGGCAGCTTTGTACAAAGCATTTTTCAAACAGAAAATTGAGCTTAAGATACATATACTCACTATTTTTTTTTTAATTATAGAGCACTAAAAGAGTTAAAAAGCTTAATGTTGTTCATTTTATTCATGGCGGTCTTACGGAAATGGCAGAAAATGAATTTTCCCTTAAATGTGTCTCTGCTAAGTTACCGAACACAAAAAAAATCCTTAAGTTTTTTCTCAATTAGATAATCTATTGGCCCTGAAGTAAAGTTTTTCGGTTATTTTAAGTACTTTTTAAATTTTTTTTTGGTAATTTGCTCTAAAAACTACGGAATATATGCTGTCCGAATGTGCCATGCTGTGGAGCAGTTTCGTACAAAATACCATGAAATGAAGAACCAACAGTTTTCCATCAGCGCGTGTCATATTTTTGGAAAATTGTAGTCAAAGTTGTGACAAAATCTTTTATCCGTAGCCTCACTCTCCCCTATTCTAAGAATTTTGCAGTGCTTCCAAAACAGTCATTTTGCTACACGTTTGATCAGCAGTCTCGAGGCGCAACGCTGGTGGTATAAGACAACGAAAAGAAAGAAAAAGTACGCCGTCTAGGAGAAGGAAGCCAAGCACACTCACCCAGTAGTCAGACATCGGTTTCGATACTAACAGCAAGTGCGCTATTGTGACGTTGCCCAGTCGCTGGCTGCTTGCAGCAGTTCTGCTGCTGCTGTTGCTGCTGCTGCTGCTTCTCCGTGATCGTGTGCGCCCCCAAAAACGGAGCTAATCGCGCCTGCGGATCAGCCAGTAAGCCTGGCGTGGTTTCGACGCCATCCTCCAAATCCATCATATCCGATGAGGATTCAGACAGTGACGATTTCTTCAGGTGTTGTCCTGCAACCACAAAAACATGAGATTCTAGCTTAGCCGTCGAGAGACTGGTGTGGAAAAACCTACCCAAAGTTCCAGGTAAATATGGACAGCTAGTAACGTGATTAAAGTTTTGGCTCTGCATCTCCTCTTGATCCGTTTCTCTATGGTAAAAGTAATTGAAGTTGCTGACAATAACTGGTACCGGAAGTGCAATAGTCAATACACCAGCAATGGCACATAATGATCCCACAATTTTACCCCACACACCGACAGGTCTGTTCAATTGTAAGAAATTTGGGTTGGAAGAGAAGAGAAAATTTTATTAGTACAAATTCAATATTCGAAATCAATTTCATTTTATCCAAAAAATGCTTATTGTGAGCAAAAAATTCGGAACAGAAATGATAATATAAAAAAAAATGGCAAGAGAACAGAACGTGGAAATAAATCAGTGAATTTGGTAAATAAAAAAAAGATATCATATTTTATATATAAATTTGAAAAAGTAAAAAGCCATACAATCGACTGCTGTTTTAGCTTGAGAATCGCCAGTGAATCATACTGAGTATAGAAAATATGGAAGAAATGTAGCAAAATTGAGTCTATTTTTAGCATTTTCAAGCTAAAACACACTCGAATGTGCCGTAAAACTTTTATTCTCATCACTGTTGTGGACTACAACAGTTATTGGGCATGAAATTTTTTTCGCTCTTTCCTCGCAAGTTTAAAAACTGCTGCGCTCTCTTAGGAAATTTCCATTTGAAAGAAAACAGACCAATTGGCACGGAGAAGAAAAGTCTCACTTCTCAGATATTTTGTATTAAAAAATGTTTCTTGTGTGATTTTAAATGCAAAGAAAATCGTCTCATATATGGGTTAAAGAAGAAACAAAGAAAACAAACTATGACTATGTTGATATTTTGTTTTTTTTTTCTGGTTAGATTAAAGAGTTATACATGTTGTGAGGAGGAAAAGTAAATCAAAGAAAAGGAGGTAAGAAATTGAAGCCAAAGAGATGAAGATAGAGTGAAAAACTGAGGAAAAATAATGTAGGAAAAAAAAAACATCTCTCTACACAAAACTCAAAGCGTGCACGCTCATGCAATTGTGACAGACATCCAAGAACTGCGCAGTTCTCTGTGGAGTGAGGATGTCTTGCACATTTGGCACAGCAAAAGCTCCACTCTCAAACTACATGTAACACTCAAAAGCGCATCATGCTCAAGTGCAAGCTCAATGCAATCAACATAATTCGATGCAATCTTGCGATTCTGTTCCAATTTCAAATGCTCTCGCTGACCATTGTCAGGCGACCCACACCAAAGAAAGGAAAATAAAGGAAAATTATACGGAAATTCTTCAAGCTGATGACAAAAAAGGATTGTAAAAAAAATCTGTTGTCCCTCAAAAAACTCTCAATGATCACGGAAAAGTATAAATTTGGATGAAAATCAATGGAATTTTGCTAATAACTTTAGGAGCTTTGAGAAATCATAACCGTTTCTTTTTTTTCATATTTCAGAAGAAAATTCTTTGTTTGACATGAGAGATAATTTCTCTTTGTTCAATTGATTATTTTCCGTTTACAAAGTCAAGTAATTTTGCGGTAATCTTTGTAAGAACAGAATAATGTAAGAGAATATTAAGGGAAATAAAACACCTTTCTGTCTTCTTTTCCAAATTGTATACAAATTGACAACATCAAACTGTGACAACAGCAATACAAATACTCTTTAATACTCTCTAAAATAATTACAGTTGACAGAAATATAAATCATACAACAAAAGGAAGTCATACAGGGATATTTAGTGTAAAATGTAATAAAATTGTCCATAAATCATCAAAACAACAAAACATAAACCTTTCCAATGAATTTTTATGGTTGTAAAATAAGGATAAAGTTTTGCTGTTCTGATTCAGTTTTGTGTGGAATATTAAAAAAAAAGAAATTGCAAAAATATCAGCTGTAAATATTCCATACATAACATTTATGTTAGTGTTTCCCCAAGTAGTTTGAAAAGTAAAAAACGTCAATAAACAAGGAAATATTTTGTGTCCACGATGAAATTTCGCTGAACAAAGAATTTTCTGCACATCTCTCTCTCTCTCTCTTTCTCTCTAAAAATTTGTCTGCTGCCAATGAATATGTAAAGAATATCATAGGAAATAATAAAATGAAATTTTCCAACTCAATTTCTCGTACTATCTCCCTTCTAAATGACACATTGCACGCAATTTATAACAGTTACACGTGTAATGATCGAGGTTGGTGTTTCCATTGGACGTCAAAATTACCCAAAGAGTCGAAAAATTCAACAGACACTCCTTGCAGGTAAAGATGACACTTTTTTTTGTCAACAATGAAGACACTTTCCGCTGCGCTTCTATTACAAAAATCAACTAACAGTCCCTCTAAAATGACTCCATGAATGGAAAATAAAAACATAAATCACCTAAAAAAATTAATTATATTTTCTTTTTGATTTCACTTGCAATTAATCTGGAAAAAGAATCACATAAAAATTCTTCTCTCATCTATGAAACTAAGAACAACAAAAAAAAATATCAAAAATGGCTCAACTAAAAATCCAGTGAGATTTTTTTTAATTCAATACTAACAGAAAGATTCTCGTTTTTTTTTTAATAAATTTTCTTATTAACTGTAAAAAAAATATATTGCACAAGAGGTGATTAGTGAATTTTTGGTGACACTCTCTACTGGCGTGAAATTTTGACGCGTGTAATCTATAAGGCTTGCGAAATGTCAATTTGTTCTTGTTTTTTTTCTCGGAGAGTCCCAAAAATTCTCTCTCACAAAATTCAGAAAAATATTTGCTAAATATAAAAAGAAAACTCATGTAGGAGCTCAAAAATGGTGGCCATAAAGTTAGAAAATGATTAGAGGAAAGAAAAAAACTCGAAAAACAAACCTAAAGAAAAAACTTGTCACACCATTACGAGTAGTTGACAAATGTCAAAAAAGAGTATTAATCAGAAAACAAAAAAAAACAGTAACGAAAAATCCAAAAATGAATTCTTAGTGAATAAAACTGATTATTATTGTAGCAAATGTAGAAAAAGACTACTTAATAATGAATGAATTTTTTTCTTAATCACGCGTATTAATTTTTGAGACAAAAACAGAATAGCAAGAGAATGAAGGTGACTGTTTTGACAAAAGTCTCAAATGAGAATGCTCTATTAATCTTGACAAGTCAGACAAGAAAAAAAAATAAAGAAAAAACAGTAGGAGAAACTATGGAAAGTTAATTATTGGTAAAAATAAGAGAGAACAAATCATACGTCATGTCACCATATCCTACTGTAGTCATGGTAACCACAGCCCACCAAAATGCATCTGGTATAGACTTGAAGAAGGAATTTTCGCTTCCAGCTTCCGCAAAATATACCGCCGATGAGAAGAGTACAACGCCTAAAATAGACAATACAATGGCGTGTCTTTGTGGTCTTTCAATTACTCTCTTTTTGCTTCATTGCTTGCAAACTTAATCTTATCAACTCTCTCACTCTAGCGAGTCTTAGCACGGCCATTGTGGGCCCACAAAGAGTAGGTTTACATCGGAACAGATTATTCTGAATGTTGTCAAAACATCTTGATGACAACCTATAGTCCACCAGAAGATCATCACTTGAATTTCCTAACCTACAATTTTGCCCCATCTAGCGGTTGTGATCCGTAACTGTCAAAATCTTCCACTGTAGATTTCATCAGGAAGGTTAGTTTACATCCAGAAAGGTCTGAACGTCGATATAAACACACTCGCTGATTCAACTTGAGTGGCTATCACGAGTGAGATAAGCGTTTAAAGTGACTTTGTGTCTACAATGATTGATGACATGGCGAGAATGTGTGTAAACAATTCAACTCTGTGAAGTCATATTCCCCATTTTAAGCATCACGTCGCGACTCTAATAAGACACTTTATCGTATAATCCTAAAAGTATAGCTTTTTTATAGTATTTTCTCTATAAACAAAACAAGACGAGAGTTTTTTTTTCTCTTGTTTTTGGAAATAAAAACTATCTCGATGGCAGCTGTGTGATCGGCAGACTGAAAGGAAACTCTGTTAGTTCGGAAGAAATCACTTGAATATGTATAGATTTGAGAGAATGGAACAGAAAATAAGAAGGTGAAATGAGGCAGAAAAAAGATGTTTTGATTAAAATTGTAAGAAAATTCAACACTGAGACACATAAGACGACATTTATGTACATGACAACACCTTTTTCAATAATACCTATAAATAAGAAATAAAGTTTTCAAGTTATTTCATATGCATTTAGTTTCTGTATAACAAATTCATCATCTTTGCCAACTTTCATTCTGCAATACAAATTATATTTGGTGTCTTTTTTTTTGGGTGTTTGTCCACTGTTTTTTGAAATTCGTCACAAAAATATTACACATGATGGCGATTTTGAACAGTGTGTAAATACTTTAGAGAGGAAAATAAATAGTCTGAAGAAAGAGATAAAAGGAAACAAACTTCGAAATTAGTGTGTAAGAGAAGGAAAGAGACTAGAAAATCACGTATGTTATGAAACACATTTTCTTGTAAAGGACAAGAAGGTATAAGATTAAGAAGTTTCCAAGGAAAAGTCTCCAACTGAGCATTTCACGGAAATTGTTGGAAAATTTTCCCTTTCACATTTCTTCTTTTATTTATTTTTTTTTTGGTTTTGTTTTGGCACACAGACTTTGACAACACTAAACCACAAAATATATGTATAAGAGAAGGAGAAGAATTTAAAAAAGAAAAAAATATTCTCATATTGCATTAAAATAATAAGGAAAATGATAGAGTTTATATGAAAAAAAAAGAATAAAATTAAATCATAGTGTTTTGGGAAGACTTTTATTTCGTTCATTTCTGGACATTTTTGTGGTTCGAGAATGAGACTTTCTCTGGTCTTTTTGGATTTGTGTTGTAGTTCTTTGATTATCAACTCTAGCTCTGCAGATGGACTACAAAAGTTTGCCAAATGTTCTTTAGAGTATCTCTTTTTGGGAACTTTGTACATTACATTTTAGCAAAATACACGACTTTAAAATTTTGGGTGAAATTTGCAGAACTAGCGTTCGTTAAATTTACCTCTAAAACTTGAAAGGCATCCAAAATGCGCAACTCCAAAATTACAAATCGCATCGAGTGTCTCCACGTGAGTGAGAAAGTCATTGCGAAATGGGCGAGGAAAACACACAATCTGGATGCTTTTCACGAAATCAAAGTAAGAAGACGAAAAAAAAAATGCAAAACGCTTAAAATAGAATTGGAGAAAAATCACTACATTCTTCTACATCTTACTCTGGTCAATATTTGTACTTTGCTATATGAAATCTTTTGCAAAGATAGGAAAATAAAAGAATATCTAGCGATAGACATCTCTCTTCGGCGAAGAGAATCTGCAGGGCAGCAGTTTTGAGTCTCAGAAGGTTTTCTTCTTCTTCACATTTATGAGAAAAAGATGGTCTTGTAAAAAGGGTTCTTAACGGAAAATGTATATAAATTATTCTTAAAATAAATAAATAATGTGATGTACCTCATATCACCATATCCAACTGTGGTCATTGTCACCACAGCCCACCAAAATGCGTCCGGTATTGACTTGAAGAAGGACATTTCAGCGCCAGCCTCGGCAAAATAAACCGCAGACGAAAAGAGTACAACCCCTTTTGGTGGTTTTTGTGTACATGACATGAGTTTTTTTGTAATATTCATCATAAACAGCAATAAATGGCTTAAACATTTAAGAGGTTCTTAATAGCTAAAAGTGAAGTTTTGGCGGAAAATGTCTCTCTAAATTTTATTCACTAGAAAAACTACGCAAAAAATCATGTGTTACATTTTCTTTTTGAAGCTTCTTCTGTGTGTCTCCGAGAAAATGGAATTGAATATGCTCACTGAACAGGTTTTGATGAAGGGTGCAAAAGAGATAATGTGGCCATTCATTCAATCTTCTCGCCGCACTCAACATCATCATCATTCACACCATTTAATTTTAATAGACATTCCCGAAAATTGTTGTCATTTCTCTGCTCGAGAAGCTGTTGGAGGAAAGTGCATGGAAAACCCCCCGCAGAACTAGTAGTCAAACATCAAAATGCTTCCACTGAAGAAACCCAATAATTATGGGAAGATTATGGAATGAGTTCTATTCGAACTTCAACCGAAATTCTCAGAGTCCTAAAAGCTTTCTTAACATTTTTACGGCAATTTACTTGGATTTTTGCATGTTTTCTACAATTTGTAGACAAAATATTTTTTTTATAATTTTTTTTATAGGTTTGTGTGCCAGACTTAAGAAAAATTACAAAATAAAATCACAGAATTTACTATTAAATTTGAAAATCATTACCAAAGATTTAGGCAATTTTTCTTTTGCAAATCTGTAAACTTGTAAATTTGTGATTTCTGGGATCGCGACAGCAGCGCCACTAGCCATCTTGTGGCCTCAGAGCGGATACAAACTTCCATTCAAAAATTATTGTAATTTTTGGCACAATTTATGGCAAGTTTAGTTACGGAAAAATAATAATTTTGTCTTCAAATTTGGCGTTTTCGATGCAATTTTGTAATTTCTGTGTGGTAATTTTTCCTTTACAATATATTAATGATTTTCTATCATACTGTGAGATAGAAAGTTGCTTTAATAATCAAGCTAATAATTGAGAAATTTTATAGTCGCTTTTCCATGTGCATTGAGTAATTGGCGTGGATTTTTCTCAGTGCACAGAGGCACTGATGATGGGACTTTTTGAAAAATTGCAAGCTCTCTCTCCCCATGAACTCTGGCCTCGTGGGGCGCATCGGGAGGGGCGGCGTGTCTGCCTGGGTGGGGAGGACTGGGGAGCGCAGAGTCTTGCCAACTCCAGAGTTGCGGCCTTGTACAGCCTCTGGTCCAGTGCCATGGAAACGTGTATCCTCATTGATTGGAATGGTACACAGCGTGACGTCACGCGGGACTCAACTTCCATAGGAATAATAGAGTGAAACGGGAGATTTTCAGGGGACAAATTCCAGGACGTGCCTATGGGAGAACTAAATGCACCCGTTCTTTCATCATGAAAATGAGAAGGGTTGAAAATCGTACTCTTGACAGAAAATACCAGGCCGCCCTGGAGGACAATGTGGGGAATTTATATACCGAGAGAAAATGCAGAGAAATGACACAATGAGAGCTGAATATTATCAGCAACTCAGATGGGATTTCATCCATTAAAACCATTAAACTTTGTCATCTTTTCACCTATCGATAAATTAAATCGCACAATTATGAGGTTAAATGAGGTGGAAAAATGGTGAATGTCTTCAATTGTACTCTGAGTTAACTGAATTTTCAAAGTATAACAATTATTATCACACCGTCGCAATGACTTCTTCTTTATGGCATCTTATGAAAGACATTTGGCAATCATTCGATAGAGATAAGTATCATTGGGAGAATATAGTATAGCAAGTGGAAAATGGATGGACTTACCTATGAATAAGAAAAATATAAGTAAGCCTAATTCTCGCATTGACGCTTTCAATGTTCTTCCTAAAATTTGTAATCCTTTTGAATGCCTAGATAACTTAAATATTCGAAACACTCGAACTAAACGTATCACTCGGAGTATTGCCAAGGACATAGCCTGATTCGTTGACTTGTCCTGCAAGAGGGAGAGAATGTGGCGGAAAATGCCGCATTAGCGCCAGGACAGAAGGATCTGGGTGGGATCTTACCTGTGGACTAACAGGGGCCCGCGGGAGGTTCATCGTGTCCTCCTCTTCGGCAACTACCGTCGCCAATGTAATGAAATAAGGAATGATTGCGATTATGTCGATTATATTCATAACATCCCTGAAGAAATTTAACTTATTCGGACAAGCAAGAAATCTGCAATTGAAGACAGAAGCAGAAATTAGTGAGATTTTCAATCACAATATATACTCAAGTTTGGTGCCTCACCTCACGCTAAGTTCGAATGTAAACCATATAATACATATTGTTTCTATGAGGAAGAAAGGATCTGTGATGTCAGGTACCTCATCCTCCTCAATTTTTGTGCCATTTGTTGTTGTATTGAACACCTGAAGGCAGAAAAGACGATGTGTGTTAATTGAGTCGCGTCTGCGAGATAATTTTGCTGTCGTCTCTCACCTTGTAATGTTTAAATTCGGGTAGAGTTTCTAGACAAAATATAACAATTGATAGAAGTATAACAAATACACTAATTATGGCTACAACCCTGGCTGCCTGCGAACTTTCCGGATACTCAAATAATAGCCAGACTTTTCTTTGGTTCTCATTCGTCGGCAAAGGTTTCTCCTCTTCCTTAATAAAGCCTTCATCCTCTCTGCAATGGTTAATGGGGAAATTTTTTTTTTTAGAACTTCCTGCCCTGATATGTGTCCTCCTGGGGAATTATACCTGAATTTATTTGTGGCCTGTTCGCCCAATTCGTAAAATTTAATTTCTTCACTAAATACATCTAAAGGTACGTTCACCGGCCTTCGTAAGCGACCACCTAAAGATCAAAAGAGATAGCGGAAAGTTTGTCATAAATACAATCCAATCACATCGAAAGCATACAGTAATACATTGAAAATATATAATTATGGTGTGTGGTGGATATTTGGAGACACAGTCCAGATATAAAACATCAATTTTAAGCTTGGTAGGATTTCCAGGAGAAAGGATTGTGGGAGCGAAGCTATTTTCTCTATGAGCGGGATCTTCACGTGAGTTCACAAGGCTCCATAATAAGAGGTGAACACTGCAATTCTTTCTCACCTCGCCTCGTGATTTATTACGGCAATTGAGAATCTGGATTCAAGGGGTTGCTAATATTGGGGATGCAGTACCACTTTTGCCCCGAGATGCAAATTCAAACGAAATACTTGATCTTTAATCGGATATTTACGATTTTACGCAAGGTTTTACGATCAAAACGAGTGTGAAACTGGAAAAAGCTCCCAATTTTTGCACACTAGAGAATGTTTAATATTGTTGGTGAATATTTTCTCCTTTAATTTTCCACTCTTTTTCTCTACATCCCGCAAAAAATTCTCGACTCCGTCGATTCAGGTTTATTTTTAAGATCTAAATCTAGAAGGGAATTTTCTTCGAAACAAATAGCGCGATGCTGAGGCATTCAGAATCCCTATTTGCAACCCTTCGATCTGGATTTCAGCTCACGTGAATACTCCCAATATTTTAGGTGTCCTTGTTCACGACAAACACATCATACAACACATCACATTGTGCATCACTCTATACTTGGTGTGATTAAGGAATTAGGGGAGCGGGAAGGGGTGGAATTTTATCGTTTACTGTTTACATCTTCAGTGGGGAGCTCGGGGTGGGAGTGGGTGGTGCATTGTGGGTCACACGGAGGGGTGAGATAAGAGAAAGACACATTAAAATAGCACACAGTATAATTTCCATTGTTCAACACCGCTTCTGGCGCACATAAGAGTGTGTGGTGGCTTCGTATGTTTTTTTTCTTTCTTTCTTTTCGTTCAAGAACGAACAAGAGAATAGGATGAGACTGAAATTGGATCACACAAGCGGACGTACATAATGGAAGTGAATACTTATTACCGCTCTGATAGTAATACAGGATTGCATCGAAACTCGGTCGATTCCGGTCGAAAAAATATTCATTTCGCAGAGGATCAAAGTATCGTAATCTTCGCGCTGGATCCCCCAGCAGAGTATCCGGAAATTGGTTTAGTGTCCGAAGCTGAGTCTCAAATCTTAAGCCACTCACCTGCAAGGCAGAGAAATAGTTATGACAGGGGAATTTGTAAATTAGAATTGATAGCGGACAGTTTTCTTTCATGCGGAAATACAAAGTCAAAGTCAGAATTAATGTTCAATTTGTAGTCAAAATTGTATTATGTCACTTTATATGCCAAGTTTCTCATAAACATCCTGTTTCTTGTTCAGGATAATTTATTTAATTCACGTGTGTTCTTCCTCAAATTTGATATTTGCAATGCTTCAGTGACACAGCAAAGGTTTCAAATATATTTTTCTTTCCTTGCTCAAAGAGTAGGGAAATAAATAAGCGAGTCGTAGAAAATGCAATTAATTTTTTGGCAATTTCACGAGGAACTATTACTTATGCCAAATAACCGTGAAAGATTCTATAGCACAGAGTTGCATTTAAAATTTATCGTCTACCTTGCCAAGGCTAAAATGCTGATATTACGTAAATAAAGATAAAATGTAGCAATTCGTCGTGTCTATAAGTCGACGGGTGAATCGAAAACTATGAAAAGTCAATTTTTCCTATTTTACGTTTTATGTATTTTTGAAAAGCTTTTTATTTGTTCTACTACTACAAAAATTTTGAGATTTGTATCTTATGAAACAATAGTAAAAAATCTTATTTATATAGAAAAACACAAATGAAAAAAATTCTTGAAAAAACTTCATATTTTGTGATGTAAACTATGAAAAGTAGACTTTTCATTGTTTACGTCGTACATTTTTTCCAGGTAAATTGTCTGAAATTGTAGTCAAGCGTATAAAAAGCCTGTTTGAAAAATAAATATAAATTTTCAAAATTACACTTAAATGTTCTCAGACTTTGACTAAATATTTAAACTTGAAATAATAACTTTTGAATTTTTTCACTTGAAAAATAATTTTAAAAAAATCATTTTAAGTATAAAAAGTTTATTTTTAGATTTTTTCTGGATAAATTGTACTTAAAGACTATTAAAAATTGACTTTTAAAAGTAACATTTAAAGTATTTCCATTAACTTTGCCATATTTTTGTCAAATATTTCAATAAATACCAATAAAATTTATTGGAAAAATTCAGAAAATAATTATTAGAAGGTGTTTTGATGTAAATTCTGTAAATTTCCCAGCTTAAATCTATTGTCTCAAAATGATAATAATGCAACTCACATTTATTACAACTCTTTCGCAGAAGTCGTGATCGTGCGGTATTGGTTCAAAATGGGCATGAGCTCCCCCAAACCCATGTCCAGCCCCCCCTTCTTCATCCTGACTGCTCAATTTGGGTAGAGACCTGCAAAGAGAGAAAAAAGAGTGCATTTTAGTGTGATTTCCGCCGCGACATTTTGCAGTTCATGCTGAAAGTGCAATAATCCATCAGCGATCGCTTTCCACCCAATTGCAAATGCTGTTGAATGCAATTGACATTTTTATTTCCACCCTCACGCTCTCGCTATAAAGCCGAAATCTTCCTCGTGAAGGATTCCCTTTGCCAGGCAGACGCTGAGGCTCTGACGCCGAGGAAATCCTTGGCGCGGAGCCAAACAATTATGGGTGTAATATCAGAGGAGACTGTATTTCACCATAATCACGATGAGAGGTGGAAAAGGACAATAAAAGTGGAGTGGAGAATGCTAGAAAAGATGGATGGCAATTAATTTATGCACACCACAAGGAGGTGTTCAATTGATTGCCTCCTTCCGTGAGTCATTCGCCCGTGAAGGGTTTTCCAAACATGCTCTGTTGGCAGATTTCCACGCTGAAGTCTTCACGGGGAGACTTTCAGCGAAATCAAAGATGGAAGTTTTGCAAAACTGTATTCAAATGCTATCGATTCCGAATGTCATGTCGATTGAATTTCCATTATTGTTTAAAACAATACTAAAATTGAACTGAAATATAAATGACAATTTTATAACTCTGATTTTCAGACAATTTTATACAATATTTGATAATTTTCAGCTTTTAATAAATATTTTCGTTATCGTATTTTTAATTAAAATATTTTTGACTCAAAATTTGATGTTATGAAGTGAAAATTTTAAGTTATGTTTAAGCTTATTAGCTTTAAGAATCGCGATTCCAGTGCAAAAATTTCAATTCTTAACACATTTTTCATTAAAAAAAATTTCAGTAAAAATATGTATTTTAATTTTAGGAGCAAGAATTTCTATTTTTAGTTATTATTTAGTCTTCAATCAGTCACAAAATCTAGAAAATTATGTCTAAATTGAGACTTGGTTTGAAATTAATTTCTGGGAGTAAAATTGTCAATAGAAAATCTAATCACTTCCTAGAACTGACCACAGTATCTCCCCCTTGTGTCTCTATATCTATTGATTTGCGACAAAATGCCTGTGCACAATTACCCAAATCCCAGAGTCGCAGTAGCATGCAAATGCCGTGGGAATAATTCCGCAGAAAGTCATCCATTCATCAATGCTCCGAAATTCCCATGTCATTCCCCTCTAATTTTCCGTTGTGAAACATCTCGCCGTCACAACTTTAATGCTCACGCAAAGAAAAGTGCTCCATTGCATTGAAACATCATGCTGGAGTGCCGCTGGGGTGGGTGAAAAAGTCGTTACACAGCACAAAAAAAGCGCCACCCGCATGAGAGTCCGCCGTCACTGCAGTTGCTATTCACAACGCAGCTCCACATTGATCCGACCCGGGCCCGCCGCCCCGCCGCCCCATGTGCCGGGCGGGGAGTCCCTCGGCGCTTCCGGGATACACGCCAGAGAGGGAGCTCGGCAGCATTCAGGAGAGCTCGCTGGGTACATAAGCGAGCTGGCGGATCAATGAATTGCCACTTCTCTGCAGTTTCATTGATGGTCTCTCTCGTTCCCTTGAATTTAGGCCAAGCAATGACGTCATCGTGCCCTATTTTCGGTACGATGACGTACATGGCGTATATAATTGTGTGTCTCTTCTAGATATAGCCGAGCCATGGCGCTCTCCGCCGTGCACCTCGCGCACGAAATAGAGTTTACTGCCTCCTGTTCGCAGATCGCTCTTTTCTGGCTTTGGGGACGCGCCTCGGTGGGAAGGTGAGCCCCACCGCCATGGCTATATTGAGAGAAATTATGTTTATTGCCCATGCCGTAAAACACTCTTCGCACTCTTGGTCCCTCTTGAGCGCGCGCCCGCATTGAGAAGAAAAAAGGCTGAAAATTGTGTAATCAAGCGCGAGATGCTCGCAAATCAATTTCCAATGCCATGGAGCCTGGCGAAAAGGGCTGCAAAATTAATTTGCACACCCATAATTGCCTGTCCGGAAATAGAACTGTGCGCCTCAAAACATCACCAGCCATGTGATTTCTCCGCAAACAGCGGTGATATCACTCAATCAGACGCGAATGCAATTAAATTCGCGCAAATATTTCTTCTGCTAATTTGCGACCGCACGCTGTCTAAAGGGTGTGGAGCCCTTTCGCGGTGTCACATGGAATGGCAGATGCTGTTTTTGCGGCGAAACGGACTCCAACCAGGCGCCCCCACCGAATGGTCCAATTTTAAAGTAGTCCAAATTGAATTTTTAACCTTAAAGCGGTGGAAATTGTTGTGGGAAAAATTTGGTTGAATAAATATTTGAGGTGCGGAGAATTCTTTTGCATGAAATATTCACATTGATAGATGGACAAATGGCGGCAGGAAAAATACTAATAAATACTCAATAAATTTTCCATCTGTTCTGAGAAATATTGATCAGAATTTCGTGTGAAAAAAAATTCTTTCCTCTTAATAAATTTTCAGACAAAGCTCTGGATAAGCTTTGCAATATGCACGAATTTCCATTATTTTTCTATACCACAAAATATTTAAATATTTTTATTATTTTCTGATTATTTACCTTAAATTGAATGAAATTATTTGTTTTAATCTTTTCGAGAGTAAATTAAATATTTAAATATTTGATTGAGAACATTCAGATTCCTCAAAAATGGCAATATGTGAAAATGCTTTAACTATTTAAAATTGCGCTTGAATTTGTAGCCAAATAATAGTATAATTGTGCATAATGAAGCGCCAAATTTTGCAGGCGCAATTCTAAATGCCCGATTGGAATTATAGCCAGCAATAACTTGAAATTTTCACTGGCAATTGTAGTTAAATTCTATTAGGTCAAATTGTATTCAACAACATATTTTCTTCCATCTGAAAATAAACTCATCTATCGCGCGATGTCATAAACAATGTTGCAACTATTGTGTTTCACATGAATTGTAATAAGCTCTGACCTGTTCCCAAAAACTCACGAAGCACACCAGAAAGTTTCCTCAGCAGTCGCAATTGCACTTTCTTGTATGAATTTAATTATCTTCAGCCCTCTCGTGGCGTGAATTCTTGCGCTTATTCTCGGACTATTTATCAATTTAGTCCGGGGGTGGGCAAAAAAGTGTAAGCAAATATAATTGATTCACATGATAAACACACTTCATTTGCGTCTTGACTCGTCTGTTTCACGTCTCTGACCCAATTCAATCCTCTCGGCAAACACCCAAATGGGTGGGAGACGCGTCAGAGATTGTGGAGTGGCGATTTTCGCCCCCCCGGACTTGCGGATCCGCTGTACGGAAAATCTCTTCATGGCATTAATTCGGCTGGTGGGGCCAGAAATAGCATCGCCGCCTGCATAAGTGGGATTACTCGTGGAGAATCAATGTCTATTAATTCATGCATGTTTGGCTAAAAATAGTGGCGGTTTTTATCAAAAATTTCGCGCAAAGAACAAGTAATTACACTACGCGCCAAGTGGCTTGATTTGCCACGAGTGCGAGATTATTTAGAATAAATCCATCGATTATATGGGATGGCCTGAAATCTCTCGTGCGCCACACAGAGAGTTTATTATGTATACGCCAAGCATTTGATCAACTGGCAGGAGTGTCTTTTATAGAGTTTATCAGCCAAAGTTTATGGCAATAAAACATTTTATTCGCTATTTATAGCATTTTGAATTATATTTACAGTGGGAGAACTTCATTAAAATACCCTCACGTGCAATTAGTCCATCGCCCAGTCCACATTCGGCCCCTTGAGACTCAGCGATTGTTGACAGTGGAGGAGTCTCATAATGCAATTAAAATGGGCTATGAGAGGAATTTGGTGGAGAAGAAGTTTAATTTTTATGGATTCAACAGCGCAATTTGGCTCACTTTAGTGCTTCACAGAGGCGCGCGCGCGATTTCTTGTCAATTGACTGATGAGACACTTGATGCTTTCATCATCGACAATGGCATTAGGTTCATCCCTCCGGAAAATTTTCCATTGTAATTGAATATTGAGCAAATATCATTAGTCGCTCCTTTTGTTCCTCTGATGTGGTGATAAATGCACGGTCATTGATATTTTCGCGCACAATCACTTCATCGTCACAGCAAAATGGATTAGCAATGAGAGATTTCCAACAAAGGAACGTCCTGACGTTTTTCTGGCTGATTTATTATTGAACTCCGACGGGTGGAAAAGTGGGCACTGGCGAGAGTCAATTTGCTAGAGGTGTTGAGTGAATTTATCGGGTAAACATTTCCAGTGCGCGTCAAACTTCTCAAAATCAAATAATCCTGACCTCTTTGCGAAGTTCGTCTCTCTCAAAACTTTTCGCCCCATTCAAATGTGACTCTGGGGATGTGTCCAAAAGTGCTCACGTCACTGGTCAGAAGCACCTACAGTATAGGCACCCGCCTAGGTAATTTCTCCGCACAAATTGATCCTTCCCCAGGAATAGCACTGCAATCTCTGCGAACTCGGAGAGCCCCGCACGAGGTGAGGGTGAAATTCCAGACACCAGAAATCGCCCAATAAAACATTTATGGGACTTTTTCTGCCACGGCGTAAGAAAGGAAAATATACAGAAGATCCAAAATGTGGCGATATTGCTTGGAGTGCTCGATTTGTGCGTAGTTTGGCGTGGTTTGCATGTGAAAACCACTTGCTTGAGTGCCATAAAACACTACCATTCCAAATAAATAAACAAGCAGAGAGAGAGCCTGGAAATGGGCGCCAGAAGACACCGCGCGACGCAGACATATTTTGGCACGAGGTGTCAAGAAGTGACACTGAGAGCCGATGGTGTCCAGGTCAGTCGGAAGTGGCTTGGCATTCAGCCTCCTTGGGCCTCCGGACGGCGTAAACAGTGAATCGGCTGTGTTTATTTAACATAGAAACCACGCGGTGGCATCTCAAGCACATTAAGAGTGCTTTTTCGGGGTTAAATTTAGATGTCTCAAATGAATGCCAGAGTGACGAAAGAGCACGGTGATGTCACAAAATCAGCACACATGAATTTTC